CCTAAAGTGCCTGGTATATATAGTGCTTCAGACATAGTGTTTGAAAGTTAGGTTAGTTAACCGGAAAATAACCGGAAAATAACTGGACCTAACCGCAACACTAACCTAACCGTGGTTAGGGTTAGTTGATTTCGAAAATGGAATAACCGGTTATTTTGCAGTTAACTAACCGTTAAATAACTGGCTATAATCGGTTATAACCAGCCCTATTATACACCTTCAAAACACACTTGAGAACGTCGAAAACACTTAAAATTTGACTAAGTTACAGTCAAATCTCTAAAATATCACTCAAATGTGTAGACTTTCAAGGATAATTGCATAAATATGTCAATTCTTCACCAATTTTAGCGTTCTTGGGCTCGTTTTAAAGTTGGGCTCGTTTTAAAGCTAGAATATGCAGAAATAATATCTATCAAGATACATATGAGCATATTTGCCTTGTTATAACTGATTCTTTATTTTTCAGTCCTAACTGGTTAGTAACTGCAAATAACCGACCGTAACTGGTTAGTTGCGGTCCGGTTAGGTTATTTTAGGTTTCGGGACAAAGGCTAACCAGTCTCGGTCTCGGTTAGAGCCCCTGGGCACCCAATAACCAGACCTAACCGGACTTTTGAACACTATTCAGACACGACAGATGCTCTTTTGCTTTCCCATTTCACCTCCCCCCCAATCTATGTATGACTGTAAACTTAAGTAGTGTACCACACCAATTATAAATGAGTTTGGCATAGTATAACTTAAGAATGGGCATGTGAATAGCCAATAATAGCCCTAAGAAACATGTAATGGGTGCTGGATAGACACCATGAGGCTATATTGTATCTCGGTGAGTTCTGTACCGTTTTCCACCAAATCAGTGTTGATTACCAGCTATTTGCTGTCGATTTTAGGGCCTGAAGAGACGAGAGGCATCTGCCATCATATTTTTGAAAGATCTGTCATGCTAAGTTTCAGCAGGAGGGTGTACTCTATCTTCATGAGTTCTCCATCATTCTCCTTTGTTAAAGGCTCGTTTACAATGTATTCTAGTGTCGTTTGAAGGTCCCAAAAAGATGAGAGGTTTGTGTGTCTGCATTCCGGAGATATGTTGCATTTTTTGTTTGGGGGGGCAAGTACACTAGGTTGGTCAAATTTCCATCGTTTCTTATGATCTAAGGCTCGTTTACAATCTACTATAGTGTCGTTTGAAGGTCCCGAAAAGACGAGAGGTTTGCGTGTCCACACTCTCAAGATATTCCACATTTTCTGGTTTTGGGGGGGTTAAGCTCTATCTCGGTCAATTCTTTACCTTTTTTTATCGTTGAGGGCTCGTTTACAACGTATTCTAGTGTCGTTTGAAGGTCCCAAAGAGACGAGAGGTTTGCGTGTCCACGCTCTCAAGATATTCCACATTTTCTGGTTTTGGGGGGGGTTAAGCTGTATCTTGGTCAGCTTTCCACCTTTTTTCATCATTGAAGGCTCGTTTACATTGTATTTTAGTCACATTGGAAGGTCCTGAAGATATGACATCCATATTTCTATGCTATCTCACATCCTCCCCCATTTTTTGCGAATTTATATTTATATTTAAAACCCTAGGGTTTCTATTATAGTTCTATGCTCAAAATATATATTATATTGTGTATCTATCAGGTAGACAGCATCTAATTTACCCAGATTTATGGTCACATCACTTTAAAAATTATGTGCCGGCTTGAGCAAGCTTTGAGTCAGCTAAAAGCTGAGCTGAGCCACTTAAGGAAATTTAGCTGGCTTACATCAGCTGGCTCTCGGCTAGCCGAGCCGCGGCAACACTAGTTTGCGGTGGATGGGTGTTCCAAAGTGACCTTGGCATCCAGCAAGGGTTCAAGAGACTAGAATGCTTCCTCAGCGCTTCCAGACATCAGGGAAGAAAGGCTTGAGTTGGTTGCAAATACCTGAGAGGTATGAATTGACAGAATCAGGTTTGATATGTGTTGACATGTATACAATGAAGAAGCTGAAGGTTTCTTCAGTTGGTTCTATGGGGAGATTGTGGATTTGCAGAAAGTAAGATATGAATTGAGTGCGGAGGTGTAGGTAAGGTGAGTTGAATTGTTGATAGCAAGCCCCAAAGCAATAGACTGCTTGTGCACAAGACAGTCTAATGACCACAGCTCTCAATGAGGTTGACGAGAGCTGCACAAGATGTTGATCATTTTAGGATGGCCCCCAGCTGAACTCGAGGGGGCTGAATTGGGTTGTTGACGTGAGACATGGTAAATGAATGTGGGAGCAAAAGATATGGAAAATTAAGATGGACAGTCAGGGCCCTTGTGTCCGGATTTTGTACATTTGTTACAAACGTGAAGTTGGCGACACTGAGTAGTCTCAAGCACGCATAACCCCTCATTCCAACAGTTGCATGGTTCTGGTATCTTCTTTCAAGAAGTTGCATTGGGTTTGATATTGGTGGTGAGAGATGCCTGTTGAATGATGGCAGCACCAATCGAGTCCATGTGAGTTGATCTGAGGTCTGAGAATTTGTTGAGATCTGTGAGCTCCAAGTCACGACGAGTGCCAATGCAATGCCATACAGCTTTGTCAAAAAGGATAACACGATCATGGAAATGTGCATCAGTGGCAGTGAAGAGTCCAATGATATACTCAGCATATTCTGCCAGCTCTCCAGCTCTGTGTGAGAAAGCGGTTGATGTTGCTCACAATGCCCTATTCCACATGATGCTCCATTCCACAGCTGTTGAAACTGTCTTTGTCGGGTTGACTGTTCCAAAACGTATTTCGAGATCTCCAATCTCCTCCACTTGCTCATCTTTGTTGGACATCGAGTAATAACCACTGAGCACAGCATCAAGATTGACAGCTCTCCCTGCAAGGATGTTGGTCCACTCCAAGTCTGGGAATTCAGAACAGGTTGGAGAGTTGACAAGAGAGTGTTTTGTCCCTTTTGGATCAATTGCATAGAGCTTGAGAAGTTCAAGTGTACTTGTGAGTGATGGTGATAAAGTGACACGATGAATGAAGTCAGATATAATCCAGGGATATTGAGATTCATCTGGTTTTGAATGCTGGTTAGGTGTTTGATCTTCATCAGGGTTCCCTCTTTCAGCATGAGTGTCAGGTGGGGTTTCAGATTGTCATCAACGACTGCCGCTATGCTGAGCTTGTTCGAGGTGGTGTTGATGATTCTCAATGATAGTGAGATAGCGAGCGAAGGCTTCTTCGACAGTTGAAGCAAAAGAATTATCATTGTCTGGAATCCCATGAAGTAGGTGTGTGTAGATTCTGGACAATGCAGTTGCTTTAGAGATTCGTGATGATCTAAACTCCTTGAGGACGGAGTTGCACGAAGCAAGGATGGTGTTCGCAGCTGGGAAATTCCCAGGCAAGCTTGGATTGTCCTCTTCACTGTTGTCCTGTCCAGGGTTTGGATTTTGAGATGGATGTTGTCCTTCTTGATGTAGTTCTTGATCTCCTTGACTTTGATTAGGACCTTGCTCATCATTCCCAAGAGCTGACTGAGTGCCAGTGGGGTCAGAAGGAATAGGAGTGTTAAGAGTGTCATTGCTGGTAGACATAGGATAAGTGAAGACTGGTCTGATGCAACCATAGGTTGATAAGTCAGCGCAAACAAAGGTGACATGATAGGATGTATCCCGAGTGAGGAAAGAGGGAGGAATAAAGAGACAAGACTTGCAACACATCTAAATACCCCTTGCAGAATTGGATTGCTGGTCTCCGAGGTGAGACCAGGGCATCTCAGGGAGAGAGGAGATGTTGTTTTGTCCCCAGGCACCCATGCACCTTGTCATCTCAGGGAGAGGAGATGCGGTTTCATCCCCAGGCACCTGTGCGCCTCGATTAGACTATAGTAAAATAATTTTAAACTCAATTCGCAGAACATTCCAGGCTCAATTCCGGAATGCCCAAATTCCACTGGAATGGTAAGGCACCAGAATGAAAAAAAATAGCAGGCCTCCCTGCCAAATTTCATTCCACCGGAATCTACCAGAATGACTGGATTCCTGCAGGAATCAGGGGGGCACTGATAAGACCTCGTATGAGTGGGGTATGGTATGGGTTTTGTGCTCATATACCTCCCAAGAATGGGTACCTTTGAGGTACCCTTAAATCAAAAAATTCATATACCTCATAGGTACCCTAAAATAGGTGACTGAAGTGAACAGGCTCCAATCATTGTCTGCTTTATAGCTTAGTTGCACAATGCAGATGTTTTTGCAGATTGTTCAAACTAGTTTAACTACAAGTGCAACTTCTTCAAGCTGAGCTTGCAATTAAATTTCTTATATGGATTGAATTCACATACTTAATAATACATATGCACTGGCTCAAACTTGACTTCAAGATCAGAATATATCATCTGCAGCAGAAGGCAGCAGAGATGTTTTATTTTTGATGGGAAGACCTTTCGCCGTTGATCTGCCATCTTCTGGAAATCACTGGTCATGCTTTGTCATGGAGGACTCTGAAGGCTGTGACCTGTGGATCTGACACCTCTTGACTCTTCAACTCATCTATACACTAAACAATAATATTCAATCACTATAACTAACAGATTTTTATTCACAGAAATACACCACTGCACAGACAACAAACTCTAACAGTAGGGCTCCAGCTACAAAGAGGTGCCATTGAGCAGCATGAATTTGCTTACTACTAAGGCAACTGTACTACAAACTATACCCACAAACTCATGCAATTGATTGTCCTTTACCATTAAAAACATTAAAAAAACATAGATCCACAGAAAACAGATACTACTAGGCAGGGTACCACACTGACTCCATTCCATTTCAATACACTGACTTATAGTTATTGTTAAAAAGAGGTCTTTCTTTTTGTTTTGTGGAACAGTGATGTGAAATAGGAGTTGGAATATTTGAATGATAAAAAAAAGATTAAGTTCACAATGCTATAGGGTGGTATCCTCAGCAAATAGTACTTCATCTACACCTCAATAGGCAGAAATTGAAATGGAATATATAGAGATTTTGCTTCTTCTGAATATATAGATAGCTCAATCATAGAGATGTTGGATAAATCATAGGTATAGATGTTGTATCAACGACTAAGAGGAATGGTGATGGTGAATAAGAAGGGATAGAGGAGATAAATACACATACAAAACTTTATATTTCACAAAAGAATAAGCTCATCACAATTTGGATAGCTCTGAGTCTTTCTATAGATTGAAGATGAATAGTGAGCACAGTGACAGTAAGAAAAAGTGCTTACCCTCTAAAAATAGAATTTTATAAGAACAAAGATTCTAAGATAATAGAAAATGGATATCACTTGCCCACTATATATAAAATAAGTGATTGAGTTAAATAATGCAAGAAAATGCATACCTCCTAACAAAAAGGATGGTTAAAAGGGGAAAGCTGGAAATGAATCAAAGACTTACAAGCTACAAAACATGAGCATTCTTATATAACAGAAAATAAAAACATACAATCTGAGTCAAAAAGCATATATCAAGCAGATAGAGGTGATAGTAAATAGGCAACATACTTTCTATATATAAAAAAGGAAAAGGTGAGCAGTCATAAAATTGGTCTATTTGGTGCTGAAATTTTACTGACCTCCTTGAAAGTTGTTGATTGAGGATTAATTACTGATAAAGAACAATGATTGAATACATGTAGATTAAAAAATGAGGGCTAACAAATAAAACTTACAAGAGATAAAGGAGAGATCACATACTTTCTATAAAAGGAAAAAATGAGTGCAAGAAATAGGTGAGTAGAAATCATTGAGATAAGGATATAGGCAACGCACTGACTGAAAAGGAAATGTCAAAAATAGATTACTGGAAAAATATAGAGTAAAAAATGAATGACTTACATACTAACAAAGATAATGTGTGATAAGAGTAACTCATGGCCAAAAGGAAAGCAGCTCACCCCCTGAGAAAGAAGTACCAAAATATTGTTACCAGAATCAATCACAATAAAAGCCAAGCCAACTCACATGCTGAAACAAGATAGGCCAATGTCACCAAAAGAGTGCACATTAAAAACCAGGCCTACTCACCCACTAAAACAAGACAGGCCAGTGTTACCAGAAGGGTGCACATTAAAAAGTAGGCCAACTCACCTCCTGAAACAAGACAGGGCACTGTATCACCAGAAGAGTGCACATTAAAAACCAGGCCTACTCACATGCTGAAACAAGACAGGCCAGTGTCACCAGAGGACGGCACATTAGAAACCAGGCCAACTCACCTCCTGAAACAAGACAGGCCACTGTGTCACCAAAGAGTGCACATTAAAAACCAGGCCAACTCACCAGCTGAAACAAGACAGGCCACCATGTCACCAAGAAAGTGCACATTAAAAACCAGGCCAACTCACCCTCTGAAACAAGACAGGCCACGTGTGTCACCAGAAGAGTGCACATAAAAAACCAGGCCAACTCACCCTCTGAAACAAGACAGGGCAGTGTCACCAGAAGAGTGCACATTAAAAACGAGGCCAACTTACATGCTGAAACAAGTTACAGCACTGTGTCACCAGAAGAGTGCACATTAAAAACCAGGCCAACTCACATGCTGAAACAAGACAGGGCAGTGTCACTAGAAGAGTGCATATTGGAAACCAGGCCAACTCACCTCCTGAAACAAGACAGGCTACTGTGTCACCAAAGAGTGCACATTAAAAACCAGGCCAACTCACCAGCTAAAACAAGACAGGCCCACTGTGTCACAAAAGAGTGCACATTAAAAACCAGGCCAACTCACCAACTGAAACAAGACAGGCCACAGTGTGTCACAAGAAGAGTGCACAAAAAAAACCAGGCCAACTCACCTCTGAAACAAGACAGGGCAGTGTCACCAGAAGAGTGCACACTAAAAACCAGGCCAACTCACATGCTGAAACAAGACAGGCCAGTGTCACCAGAAGAGTGCATATTAGAAACCAGGCCAACTCACCTCCTGAAACAAGACAGGCCACTGTGTCACCAAAGAGTGCACATTAAAAACCAGGCCAACTCACCAGCTAAAACAAGACAGGGCCACTGTGTCACCAAAAATGCACATTAAAAACCAGGCCAACTCACCAGCTGAAACAAGACAGGGCACAGTTGTGTCACAAGAAGAGTGCACATTAAAAACCAGGCCAACTCACCCTCTGAAACAAGACAGGGCACGTGTCACCAGAAGAGTGCACATTAAAAACCAGGCCAACTCACATGCTGAAACAAGACAGGCACTGTGTCACCAGAAGAGTGCACACTAGAAACCAGGCTGACTCACATGCTGAAACAAGACAGGCCAATGTTACCAGAAGAGTGCATATTAGAAACCAGGCCAACTCACCTCCTGAAACATGACAGGCTACTGTGTCACCAAAGAGTGCACATTAAAAACCAGGCCAACTCACCAGCTAAAACAAGACAGGGCCATGTGTCACCAAAAAGTGCACATTAAAAACCAGGCCAACTCACCAACTGAAACAAGACAGGCCACAGTCTGTGTCACAAGAAGAGTGCACAAAAAAAACAGGCCAACTCACTCTCTGAAACAAGATAGGGCAGTGTCACCAGAAGAGTGCACACTAGAAACCAGGCCAACTCACATGCTGAAACAAGACATGGCACTGTGTCACCAGAAGAGTGCACATTAAAAACCAGGCCAACTCACCTCCTGAAACAAGACAGGCCACTGTGTCACCAGAAGAGTGCACATTAAAAACTAGGCCAACTCACCATCTGAAACAAGACAGGCCAGGCTGTGTCACCAGAAGAGTGCACATTAAAAACCAGGCCAACTCACCTCCTGAAACAAGACAGGCCAGTGTTACCAGAAGAGTGCACATTACAAACCAGGCCAACTCACCTCCTGAAACAAGACAGGCCACTGTGTCACCAAAGAGTGCACATTAAAAACCAGGCCAACTCACCATCTGAAACAAGATAGGCACACTGTGTCACCAAAGAGTGCACATTAAAAACTAGGCCAACTCACCCTCTGAAACAAAACAGGCCACGTGTGTCACCAGAAGAGTGCACATTAAAAACCAGGCCAACTTACCTCCTGAAACAAGACAGGCACTGTGTCACCAGAAGAGTGCACATTACAAACCAGGCCAACTCACCTCCTGAAACAAGACAGGCCACTGTGTCACCAGAAGAGTGCACATTAAATACCAGGCCAACTCACCTCCTGAAACAAGATAGGGCACTGTGTCACCAGAAGAGTGCACATTAAAAACAGGCCAACTCACCATCTGAAACAAAACAGGCCACAGTGTGTCACAAGAAGAGTGCACATTAAAAACCAGGCCAACTCACCCCCTGAAACAAGACAGGGCAGTGTTACCAGAAGAGTGCACATTACAAACCAGGCCAACTCACCTGCTGAAACAAGACAGGCCACTGTGTCACCAAAGAGTGCACATTAAAAACCAGGCCAACTCACCTCCTAAAACAAGACAGGGCACTGTGTCACCAGAAGAGTGCACATTAAAAACAGGCCAACTCACCTGCTGAAACAAGACAGGCCACATGCTGTCACCAGAAGAGTGCACATTAAAACCAGGCCAACTCACCTCCTAAACAAGACAGGGCACTGTGTCACCAGAAGAGTGCACATTAAAAGCAGGCCAACTCACCATCTGAAACAAGACAGGCCAGTGTCACCAGAAGAGTGCACATTAGAAACCAGGCCAACTCACCTCCTGAAACAAGACAGGGCACTGTGTTACCAGAAGAGTGCACATTAAAAACCAGGCCAACTCACATGCTGAAACAAGACAGGCCACTGTGTCACCAGAAGAGTGCACATTAAAAACCAGGCCAACTCACCTCCTAAAATAAGACAGGCCACTGTGTCACCAGAAGAGTGCACATTAAAATCAGGCCAACTCACCTGCTGAAACAAGACAGGCCACATGCCACTGTCACAAGAAGAGTGCACAAAAAAAACCAGGCCAACTTACCTCCTAAACAAGACAGGGCAGTGTCACCAGAAGAGTACACATTAGAAACCAGGCCAACTCACCATGCTGAAACAAGACATGGCACTGTGTCACCAGAAGAGTGCACATTAAAAACCAGGCTGACTCACCAGCTGAAACAAGACAGGCCACAGTCTGTGTTACCAGAAGAGTGCACAACAAAAACTAGGCCAACTCACTTTCTGTAAAATAATAGCCAGAGCATGTATCTTCAGAAGAGTCCATAGTAAAATAAATGCTAACCCACTGCCTAAAAAGATAATGGCAAGAGTATTTGTTTTAGAAATGTGCAAAGTAAAATGCAAGAAAACTTACTTCCTGAAATAAGTAAATGCACATCATAATCAACGAAACAGTGCACAAGAAGAAAAAAAGGCCAGAGAATGAGTCACCAGAAGAGATAATAGTCAATAGAGGGAACAACTTACAACCTAAGATATGGTAGGTTCAGAAGGTAATTGAGTCAGAACAAAACTATCTCAGAAATTTTACAATCACTTACCCACTAAAAGTTCTGTTATAGGCATACAAAAACAATCTGAGTACACTTTATATTACCATCTGAATTGGAAAACAAAAACATTAGTTGTGTAAGTAGCAGGATCAACAGCTAATACTTACTTCCTGACATAAATGGACAGCTGATGATAAGATGTGGAATATTATGCAGAATAATTGCGCACAAACTAATGAGAGCTATGAGAATATATAAAAACTTGCACAATTGGTAAACATACATTCTGCAAGAAAAAACAACAATAAGAATACCATTTCGTTTTGTTTGATAATTTCTTTTTATTCTTACTTTCTGTGGTTGATCAGCAGCAACAACATGTTGTTATGTATTGACTTACATTCTGCAAAACAGGTCAATATTTAGATACCTTTTTGTCATTATTACCACATACCTCCTATTCAGATCAAGGATTAACTTTTGATCAGCATTGTTCTCTTCTTACTTACTGTCTGTTGGAAGATCTTGTTAAATCAGTAAAGATATCCTAATTATGAACTCTTACTTCATAGAAACCAATAACTTGTATAAATAGCTTGGTCAAATTCTTTGTAGCAATTGACCCCTGCAATGTGACATATATGTTAAAAGTATGATAACCATCTAAGAATTGCCATGACTTACATGAAATAGATCCTTTCCATCTCTCACACAGCTTAAAATTCTGTTCTTCTCCATAATTCCAAGAGTCAGTATTGTGTTATACCATGTTTTACCCTGAAAAGTTAGTAAAACTTCAATGAGAGTTTCCAACAAGCTCATCATTGTTTCATCCACATATAATTGCCGCTTGTGAAATCCTAAAAGAACATGGTGTGGCCAATTAATGCAAGCATAGTTGGCCACATCACCCTCAAAAAAGTGGCTTGAAGGGTACTCTGCCAGATGCTTCAAACAGTGTATGGCAAGATGAAGGTGTTGCAGAGGAGGATCAATGCAATATTGCTCTGATCGTGATTTGTTGGACAGAAAATCCCAGAGAGAGGTGTGATAGAGCATAATGGGCTGATCATCATATCCCGGGATTCTGATAATCGACTGTACCCCCAATAGCGCATGAATAACCTCCTCATGCTGAAGATTGAGGAGGGAACTGAGAAAAGAGATGGATTGGTTGTCCACCAGAATCATGATTATTCCAAGAATCTGATGGAGATCTGCTGTCCCAGAAGCAGAGAAAAGAACTTGTTTATAAAGTGGATCCAGACCAGAGGCTTCAGATTCCAAAAGTTGTTGCAAAGCTTTGTGTGGCATGGGAGCTCCTCCCACATATTGGATCAATGTTGTGGCAAATGCAAATGAACTGCCAGCCTGATCTAGAAGTACAGCAAGGTCTTTGACAGATGGCCAGGGCTTTGATATCCTCTGCATCTTTCGAATATTCTGGTCATAAATGTGACCAAACTCCTTCTGAACATATACTTGTATATCCAGACAAGCATCATAAGTTGCCAAATCCAGATGGTATAAAACTGACTGGGCACCAGGAGCATTGAAGCTTTTATGAATATGTTCCTCCACCCTGCTGGTGAGAAGTACTTGGAAAGGAAGACGACTTTTTCCTGAAGATGCATTGATCAAAACATCAATGAAGGCCGCCATCTCAGCCTTGCCATCACATTCATCAAGAGCATCAATAACAAGAATCCTTCGCTTTGCAAAAAATGAAAGGGCTTTACTGCGAGAAAGGATTTCGAATGTGGTGGAATGAGCTGGAGCTATAATTAACTTCTGAAATTGACGAGCAAGAGAGACATAGGGCTCAAGCAAGTCAGGCTCATCGCGAAGAGCTGTCTCAAGTGATGGCTTTGCAGCAGGAATAGAAAGGGAGATCTGATGGGCAAGGGTAGGTATCAGGCGAGATATGTGGCTACGTTCACCAGCGCCACGAAGAAAGAAGAAGCTCCCTAGAAGGCGGCCCTTTGCGGCATAGTGCTCCGCAATGGTTTGAGCCACCGCTGACTTTCCATAGCCAGCTGGTCCGTTGAGCCAGCAGACAGGTGCTCGGTTGTCAGAATCATTGAGCCACTCCTTGATCTGAGTGATAACCTCTAGGCGGGTACCGGGATCACATCGAGCAACATGACCCGCGCGAGTATGGGTGGCGTTGCTGACAGGCCTAAGCAAGCCTGGAAGACCTAGATGCAATGAACCATTTGATAGTACTGGCGAATTCATACAAAACTTGACATACCTGCAGGAGGATGGGCCGGAGGGCCATAAAAAACGATGTCGCGGCCGGCGTTATTGACCTGTGCGCTTCCAGAGATGGTGGCTCCGATAGAGTTTGGCAGGAATGCGGCTGATGACGAAGGTTCCATGAGTGAAATGGCGTGTTGTAATATGAACGCTAGAAAAGTTGAAAGGGCTCAAGACGTCGATAGGTCGGGTCGTCGTGGTTGGTGAAAAGTCGGAGATGAATTGTGGGAATTCGTTGAACCACTCACGCAAAATCTCTGTCTCTATTGAACCTATGTCCGAGCCTCACTCATTAGCAGCCGTCCCATCCCCCTCGCACCTGCCACCTCTCTATCTTCTCGTCAATTTTTTTCTCTTTTCCCAACGCAAAGCATGCGAGAAGAAGGCGAAGTACCATCCAGAACTACACTTTACCCCTACTTGAAGACAAGAATGCTCCTCAAGGACACCTACACGCATCGTCGTCTCTAAATCCCTCGAAGCTACGCGCTCGACCATCCATCAGGCACTCTTAACGCCCGAAGACAACCTTGTCGCGCACCGTTCACCACAAAGCGTATCCGGCGTCCGACCAGCCTCAACATGCTCCTCCACTCTGGTACGTTTCCTCACGCGTGCATTTTCTGTTTCTTGAACTATAACAGGACACACCTCTCCCATATTGTGTGCCTCATTCTCACCCACCGATAACCTCCTCGCAACAGGGTCAGGAGGGCAACGTGCGTTTGTGGAACCTCAACACAGAGACTCCCTCACATGTTCTGTCAGGCTATAAATGGCGGATTTCATGTGTTGAGTAGGGAGCTATGGAGCGGAAGAAGTTGGCTAGTGGGGTACACGATGGACATGTGGGTCTCTTTCTTGACACGTCGTTGGATCCGTTGATTGACACTCGTCTTAGGTGAGGATATGGGATCCGAAAACGGGCAAACCGACCGGGGACGCGTTGAAAGGCCACATGAAATGGATAACCTTCTTGGGAACCTATTCACCTGTAAGTCGCCTGCTTGCCTTCCTAGTCAAACACTAGCTGAGTTGGATAAAGTAACGCTACTTCCCTCCGCCTCGCATTATCCTCCAAAGACGGCACCATCGCGTATGGTCCCTCCTAACTCGACGCGCAGAGCTCACCCTGGGCGGACACACCACCAGCGTGAACGTCGTTAAATGTGGTGGGGCTGACGTGCTCTATACCGCCAGCAGCGATCGAACGGTCAGAGTATGGGATACGAAACAAGGAAAACGAATGCACCCGCTCAAAGACCACGCTCGCTCTGAATACGAATTCCGTCCTATGTACGGATCCGTACGACCATACAGGCGAGAAACTCGCCTCCGATGAAGACGGTCAGTCTCCCTCTCTATCAAGCAAACAAGTCCACTTACCCCACCCTTCCCTATACAGCCTAAAAACTCGCACAAGAGCGGTACACGGCCCTCCTCCGCACCTCCCCCACCGAATTACTCATCTCCGGCTCAGACGACCACACCCGCTTCCTCTGGTGCCCCATCTCCTCCACCAAACCTATCGCCGACTGACAGGCCACCAGCGCCAAGTCTCCCACGTCGCTTTTCCCCCAGACGGACAGTTGGCAGCGTCAGCTGCTTGGGATAACAGCGTACGCGCATGGGAAGGTTGGACGAGCAAGTTTGTCACTAGGCTTCGAGGCCATGTAGGCGCTGTGCACCGGCTTGCGTGGAGTGCTGATAGTCTGTTGTTGATTTATATTGATAACAAGGATAGTACGCTCAAGGTTTGTTGTACTCCCTTCGTGGAATTGACTGCAATTTCTGATGATGGATTTTTGGGGTGGTAGATATGGGATTTGAAGACGTATCAGATTAAGACTGACCTTCCGGGACATACGGACGAGGTGTATTGGGTGGACTTCGTGGTTGATAAAGTTCTTAGTGATCGGACTATTAAAATGTGCGTGTTCCCGCTCTTTTGTTCCTCTTGAGTGGAGCTGATGGGTTTTCGCGTGTAGATGAAAGAATTGAGGAACTGCATCGAATTGATCTGGATGTGCAGTACATTGGTTGTTATGACCGGGGTGATACCATTGGTACATCAATACGATAAAGCTGCATTTGTATGCACATATCTTCATCTTCATGGACCCTACTCACGACACCTCGGCTTCCATGATATCTGAATAAAGGAGAACAAGTTGTAGAGATAGATTTCATGGTCTGTTGGCGTGAATACCACAACGACAACGGTGTGATCTCGTGCATGCAAAACCTCAAGAAAAAGTCGCCAGATGCAGTGAAAGATACCGATTGCCCTTATAATCCTTGGGATATGTTCACCCTTTGTGTCGCAAATCATGAAGGTGGTTTGGCGGACAGAGACCAAAAGCCGAACATCACACCTGGCGTCAATCGATGTATATGAGACTGCCATTTTACTTCGTGAGGTAATTTACATGTTATTGGATTCCTGCGTTTGGGTACATAGACTTCCCAACAATACGCCGTGGACTACTCCTCCGTGGTGCGATTGATGCGGGAGGAATCAAGGGTCGAAGGAAACACAACCGAGTTTTGCAAAGCGATCGACTGACAAAATCCGACGGAATCTACCCCTGTCATTCAGTCTACACGCAATGATTAGAGGGATATCAGGAACAGATATCCAGTTGAACGTACGATACAAGGACTGCATTGGCGAAAACTGCAGAAACATTTGTGAATTGTAAATATGGCTTTGAAAAAGAGGTTCCTTACAACTTCCTCTGACATTGTAGATCCCAAAGGGAATGGGGCTATCCGGAATCACAACGTACTAGAAGCAACGAATATCTTAGGATCATCCCCAAATGGGTGAAGAGCTGAACTGACGCTTATCATAAATGCGAGTGCAGTGAGCCTAAGAGGAAGGACGGTCAGAAGCCATAGGTGAGAGAAAGTCGTAAGGTGCACGAACCACATTAATAACCCTGTCGACAACGAACCTATGATGAGAGATTTCACGATGCTTATGATCCTCTGAGTTTGAATCATGCTTGGTGGAGTTAGCATACACACAAAAACATGAAGGGATCTACTCACCGACTTGTAGTCAAGGGGGAAGCCTGCTGATATAACAAAAGGCACATGGTGCCAGTTACCACGCCGCTCGAAAGAATCCTCAGCCCAAAGGACATGAGAAGGGAAAACTAGCCGAATTAGTTCAAAAACGGCCCACCTGCAATGTATAAGAAACGTACGTTGCTGGCTTTTCGCTCCGGGAAGCAGTAATATCTTTGCCTAGAAAAATAGTTGAGCGTGCAATTTGCTTCAAACATAACAGCATCCGACGCACGCATTCTGAACAAAGTCTATGGGTGAAAGAACAGATCCTAAGTTCGAGTTGGATCATGAATTCAACCAGGCTTACTGATAGTAAAACCTGCAACAGGAATAGTTAGCCGCAGTGATCGTATCCAAAGCAGCACGATGTACCCCAGCCAACAAAAAAAGGAGCCAACTATTCATGACATGAATACCAAGACCGGGTGTCGCTCATCACAAACGGGAACTTACCACTACAAAGCCAATCTTGAAATACCTCTGCTTCGACACTACATTCCAAAGATGAGATGGGCTATGAATTTGAAAAGAAAATGTGAATTTACAAGACCACATCCGCTTGATGAAGAGGCTATAGCGTCACAAATCATAAGAAGTGGATGACTAGATCGAAATTAGGCGTACATTTCGGTGAGGAAGCAGGTCAATTCCTAGACATACTTGTCAAAACATTGAGCTGAGAGATCAAATTCACAACTTACGGTTGGAATGAAAAAGGCCTAAATCGAAGTGAAGTCAACTGGACCATCAATCAAAAAGTTCGTACTGACCGCGGCAGCCCTAGTATTCCGATATAAAAAGACAGTTTAGTTCATTGTCAATGATCGGCCAACTCCACATAACGGACCAGTAATTGCAAGTGATCAAGGTCATAAAGTCGACGCCGATTCCCCGCTGAATGAAATAGTACCATAGCGACCTATAATCAAGCACAAGGCCGACAGTTTCTGACTACGTTGGGAATCGTTTAGCTTGACGTTTGATCATAGGGAAATTACTCGTACGACACATAAAACCGCAATCTATGAATGTCAGAATCAGGAGAGATCGAACGACTACCGGAAGAACTCACCAATATTTTCAGATATGCGGGGTCCTTAGGAAAGGCTCTGTAGTACCATGCCGTCTGGCATATCAACACGCCGTACATCCTGTGGAAGAGCAAGTTATTAGCGAGGATGAGGCCAGAAAAAGCTACGAACGCGCTTGCAATCATCCCCCCAAATAACGTAGAACCAAGTGCTGCATCGGATGCTGCACTCATAGCCTGAGTGATGAAGAAGTTGCCAGTGGGAATGAATGTTGGGAAGGGAGCATCAAGGCTTTGAAAAACTGGGTGGGACTGCCCTGGGGAAGGGTCAGTTGAATTCAGCCTCTCAATGGCCCTGGCACCAGGCACCGTGCATAGCGAAAGTGGTTGGTCAGGGGTCTACCGCCAAGATGGCTTCTTGTAACGAGCTATCGGTAGAACCTATCATGTACTATAGGACCCCTGAAAGTACCCTTGGAACCCAGATCCAAAAAGTCGAAATTTTTGGAATTTTTATCCGGACAGTTTTGGACAATTTCTATCCGGATGGTGGATCTGGGTCCAGGTATGGGCAAAATTTATCCGGACGCGGATCTGGGTTACCCAAAACCTCTATTTTCGCTTTTTTTTCTTTTGAAAACACCATATTTTCGCTTAAAAACACCTATTTTCGCTTTAAAACACCAATTTCATGCTCGGCGTCTCCTCTGGAGCCCTAATAGGCATCCTACAAGCATCTCAGATAACAAAACACTAAAATACACGAAATTGTGCCCATTTTTTGGCCCCTCTGAGGCATATTTGAGAGTGCAGAGAAATGCAAATATCGATGGTGTAAGATGGTCAAAGTGAAAAACTAATATTATGTTCACTTGGTGTAGTGGTTAAAATGTTATTGGATTAGTTGATGACGTTCACATTCAATATGTCTTGAGTTCGGATCCCCACCTGCGCGAATTTTTATCCGGAAGTGGCTCTGGGTTCGGTGGGTCAGCCCAATTTCTATCCGGAAATCTGCCTCCGGGTTCCAGCCAAAATGGCCCAAATTCTATCCGGACAGTGCTATGGGTTTTCAAAATTTTTTCAGAATTTTTATCTGGATTGGGATCTGGGTTCCAAGGGTATTTTCAGGGGTCCTTGTACTATGTAGACCGCAGTTTCTGTAACGATCCTTCTTGTAAATTTTAGACTCACTACCAAGGCAGAGCCTTTAAGGAACCCGATGGTATGAAAAAAAGGGGGCAAAAGCAGTGCGGAATGATGGAGAATTTTTTGTTTCGTTTGCGTGATGTGGTCAAGACATAAATAGTGGGGGTATGGAGACAAACAAAAATAGGGATTGCTAGAGCTGAGAGAGGGGGCAGAATTACACGGTACCACTACGACAAGATTATAAATGAAACAAGAACCAATTAGGTAGCTGCAGCGGGTGCGTTGGTCGCGGTGTAATCCTAAACCAAAGGTGCGATGGTGAGTAACGAGAAGTATAACAAAACCAGGAGCATGTACCTCCATCTCAGCATCAAGGTCTGCAGCCGTCTTAGGCGTCCTCTCTGCCTTCCGGGCACCTCCACGTCCTCTCCGGGGTCTTCCTCGAGCGGTGGTGGCAGTCCTTGATTAGATAAAACGAGATGAGAGGGTTGATCGGGCCAAAAGGCGCCCATTGGGCGCAAACGAGACTAACCTCGCGGGTTGGGCGGCAGCGGGGGCAGGTGCGACACGAGAAACCAGTGAAGCCGGCCGTGGGTCGACAACGATTTCGATCTTCATGGGACGTTCTGAATAGTCGTGACAGATTTGGGGAAAAGAGCGGAGGAATCATTAGTCGCGCTGTTCAGGGTAGGGGGCAATAGGAAGACCAAGGAAAATATATGAACAAGCAAGAATGAACGTTGAACAATTCCGGTAGCCAACTTGTTACCAAGGTTCGTAGCTTTGTCTCTGTCAATTTGCAGTGCTTGCTATACCTGGGTCTTGTCCGAATAACCGAGGCCGATACGCGCAACACAAGAACTCCCCACACCAAACCATGGAATACGTCGTTTCACGGACTGCCATCATCAGTCGCCACATGAATGCAGCCGATTCTACAGGTTGATCAGACCTGAGAATGTTGATGAACCTGGGCTAGTAAGGCACCCAAGGTCCACAGGCCTACGACGGACGCATGGCCACCTGGCCCACGGTCTCTCCAATGGCCCAGCGGGCTCCTCTCTTCCACAGCCAACCCTTCCAATAACTGTTGAGATTTCGAGTGGCCAGCATATCCGACAGAGACAGGGAGCCAACGAATCCTCTGAAACTTGGAAGGTTACAAGAAGAGATTGCTCTTCCATGGGCAAGAACGGTACGAAATGATGAGACGCGATACTAACTTCCATCGATGAGGCGGTTGTTGTATTGTTGATAAGCGACTTCGCCATCACCCTTGTTCGAAAACTGGACCGACGCAACACCTTTGGAGCGACCTCCAGCGTCGTAATGAAGCGTCACATCTCGGAGGGGGCCGACAGTCGTAGTGAAGAGTTCCTAAGGAAACGTTAGAGAAAGGTGACCAGAACATGAAGATGCGAACAAACCTTGATTTGAGTCTCATTCACGTCAACGGGAAGGTTGGAAACAATGATTTTGGTCGATGCTGGAACTACGGCCTTGGCGGTTCTGGACGCGGCTATGTTCGCAGCACGGGCACGCTGCACAGGTGAAACAGCTGTCGAACCAAGGACTTGAGCGCGGGCGCTAGGGCGACGAGCTGCACCACGACGACCAGTCTTAGGCTTGGCGGAGATGATCTGTTTATAATTTGTGAGACAATGGGCTTTTCGTGGCACAACAGCAAAAAGGGCAAACTGACGTCGTCAAGGGATTTATCCATGGTAGATGTCGAAGTCGTCGAAGTGGAAAGATGACGGTGGCGAAAGAGTCGTGAAGGGCGGTCGGAGGCTTGACGGTGGTGGTTGGAGACGAAGGGCAGGCTGGGCAAGCAAAAGAATGCTGTGGCTTTAAGAGGGGTCGGAGCTCAAATATCCACACACTCCGCTTTTGTTCCCTTTTCGCAAGAGTGACTCATTGTTCAATAAGCGCCCTCTTCATCCCTTCTCTCAACGATGTCTCGTGGCGGTGGTGGTCGTGGCGGTCGAGGAGGCGGTCGAGGGGGCTTTGGGGGTGCCAATAATCCCCCACCGATGGGTTTGACGTTCGCAGACCTACAAAACTTGTCCAGGGAGGCGACAGAGCTCTACCCTGTGTGTTGTCGAATACCTCTTCTATGAAACAATTCATTTATTGACCAGAATTTTCTGGGATACAGCCGATGCGCGTACCGGTATTCACAGAACCTTCAGATGAGGAGAAGAAAATTGCTGAGCTCCAATTAGGAATGGCCGCCCGCCTCAGGACTTCACAGTATTACATTGTGGAGAAAACAAAATCTACAGGTAAGAAAATGCTTGGACAGAAATTTCAGATCATGAATGTGCACATCCAGAATTACCACGTTATTCTGATAAGTATCGGCCCTCGAGCAGCACCCAGCCGACTCTAAAACGAAAAGATCTCCATGCACCATTCTTTCCAACGGAGATCTTCGAAGACTACTTCAACCCTAAGAGAAGAAGAAAAGGTAGGGTTTCCTTGACTTTTCTTTTCATTTTCTGATCAACCGTTCCTTTGCAGCCGCCACAAAGAGTGGCCCCAGCAAAGTCCACTTGAACCTAGATGACTTGGCAGATGACGTAGAGGAGGTTCGTCTACCACTCTTAATCTTATCACAAACTCATTGTTCTTTCAACAGGAGAAGTCATCCGAGGAGCGTTCAGACATCGGCTCACAGGCAGATGGATCTGACTATGATGTTGATGAAGAGTATGACAACGATTATGCTGAAAACTACTTCGATAATGGCGAAGGGGATGATGTGGATGACCTTGGAGGAGGAGGGGGCGACGATGGTGGAGGAGGTATGTTGATCGCTACTTTGGCTCGTTTTCTCTTGAACTAACAACTTCGTGGCAGGAGGCGACTACGACTGATATATGGGTTTTCTCTGGCTCCATATTTATAACCACTGCAATGTATAACCCCACACGCGTCTTGCAAGTCCTTCCGTCCTTTCTGCACATCTTGTGTGAACGGGACCGCCTTCTCGATGAAGACGAAGATGACTGCCTTGAAATCCTCTTTTCGAACCCTCAATTCTCTTGTGATTCAGTGCAGACTCAGGTGTTGATAAAAGGGTAGAGGTAAATAATATACAAAACTGTGCTTCCAAAATATTATTGCCATGGAAAACGACAAAATACATACGAACATGCAATGCGAATGCAAAAGAAGAGCGAAAGGAAAAAGACAGTGTTCAAATAGCGAAAAACCCGACAACCAATCACGAATCAGGAGCCTTCTCCTTGCCTTTCCTCGACGGTGGCGGTTGAAGTAACGACGGTGAGCTTGCCATGCCAGCTGAGCTGAAAGATGATAGTCTTCGCCCGCCCTTGGTTGGTGTCATTAAATGTGATGATACCGTTGGACTTCCAGGTAAAGAAGTGTTGCTAGCCGAGCGTGATGGAGTATCGCCAGCAGCCGCTTCGGTCAGGAGAAACTCGACCCATAGCCTTGAGAAAGACTACAAGTTTCCTAATCAGTATATATCCAGGGGCAAGAGAAAATCTTCTATACCTCTGTCTCATCCGACTTTTCCAGTTCTCCCGCTTTTCCAGCGGGGGAACCCGATGCTGATACTGAACGACTCCAGAACGACGATGAAGGTGGGGAGGCGATGGTTGAATTTAGAAACGAGCTTGAGCGCTGTAGGCCGGCCTTTTCTCGTTCTTGTTCTGACCAGGAGAGAATGGAGGATAATAGGGAAAGCATTTCAAAGCGCTTTCCATCTGCTCGGGGGGTGTTGAGGAAAGAGAGAAGGACATTCGTGACGAGCCGTCTATCGACGTTGGTATCAGTGGAGTTGCGCCGTAGACGACGAAGAGCTTCCATTAGGTGTTCATTAAGTATTACAGCTGTTAGGGAGGCGTTAGAGTGAAGCGCTTGTGGGAACGGGGATAGTACCTTCATGTCGTAATTTTCCAATTAAGAAAGTCTTCTCTTTGACTTCTTTTTCCAGCTCTTGTGTACGTATAATATTCGTATTCGATTCTTCAAGTTGTAGCTGCGTTGGATTCAGTCAGCGTGCTTGAACAACACAGTGCGAATTTACCTCAGCTGTAAGGGCACGATGCTTGAACTCCGCTAGTAATTGCGTTGTCTGCACTACTTGCGACTCATAATCCTTGACAGCTTGCCGCAGTTCACGGTCCTTGTCTGTTAAACCATCAATTCATCATGCCGTATTAATGATATATTATCTTGCCCACCGGATTGGAAGTCCTGCAGTACAGACTGCAAGTTTTCCGACTTTTGTCTTTCCAAAACCAATTGGTCGGCCTCCCTCTCCCTTGCCTCTATCTCCAGCTCCAAGTCCCTCGTCAGGGTCTCCGCAGTCGACTTGAGGTCGTCTGATATAACCTTCTCATGCAGTGCTGTTCGTTCCCACTCGTCCCGTTCCATTCGACATCGCTCCAATTCTGTCTGAGCTTCACGCAATTCTCGTTCGCGGATAAGAGCCTCTTGCGCGTTTTCGTGCAGAGCTCGATTACGCATGGCGTCCAGTTCAATTTGCGCACGGTCGGCTTCTTCATGTGAATCGATAAGTTCCTGCTTGAGCGTTTCGACAGTTGAAAGAAGGTCCTCATTCTGCGTGGTTAGTTGTTGAATGAGCTGTTCCCTCCGGTCTAATTCTTCCTGTGGGGACAAAACAGCATCAGCTGTGATAAAAAAACAGGTGTTCAAAATCGTCATACGGCGTCTTGCTTCAGTTTATTGCCGAGGGTTGTTCTCATCTGTGTCAACTTTGCAAGAAGATTGCGGTATTGAGTTGCCAACGTCTCCTTTTCCTCCCTCGTCTGCTCAAGCTCGCGTTGCAAGCGTTCGACCAGATCTCCGTCGTCATCCTCGTTTTGCTTCCCGTTAGATAAGGTGTGACCATTCACACCATTTGGGAGTGTGGGAGGCGCACTGTTGGAGACACTGCGCTCGCTATCTATGGATAGGCGCGACTCCTTTGTAGATATGGAATTTGAAGGAGAATGAGAGGGTATTGGAGGGGAATTGGGCGTGCCATTGGTGGGCATTTTTGCTTGAACGTGGCAATAATTAAGCCAATGGATTGTTCGGCGTCACTGGAGTGTGAAGTTCCCTGAGTGAATGCACGTGATGAGTTCTGAAGGCCATCGTTTTGAGCAACGACCACCACAGGGATCCTTTGTCACTTGTGCGGTAATTCTGACACTGCCCTCCACAACATTATTCAAATCCCTTGGAAACCTCATTCATAATACCGTCGTGTTATATTCCTCGACCTCAGGGTGCTTGTCTATTTAAGCCCTTGTCCCCCCCACTCCAGGAGTTAATTACACCATGATTCGTTCTCTATTGAGACCAATCCACCTCCTGAACTTACCAGTCGAGCTTATATGCTATATTCTTGACAACCTTGAAATCCCCGATCTCGTTCAGTGCACCTTGGTACGCTATGTTTCTTTTCACATCACAGCAAATTTTCTCCTTGGTTTACCATCATCGATCAGGTCACGAAATACCTCAGAAAAGTTGTAGGCGACTCTTCACGCCTTCAGTTTTCCATTGAATTGGCCAAGCACCGATTAGTTTCGTTGCTGCCAGCCTCGGCCTCCCCGCCGTTCTCGACCCGCCTCCAGCTTCTCAGAGAACGAGAGCGAGCATGGAGGTTTATGGAGTGGAAACAGAGACATACTCTCAAACTCCCACCCACTGGTTCGGTGTATGAGTTTGTTGGTGGCTTGTACGGAAATGGGCGGGAAGATGACAGTAGGGTCACAGCATCTATTTCCTTCCTGGAACTTCCCTCGTCAGATACACCAATGGACCCCCCAAACCTCAAAACGTGGACTCACGCAATGGGGGATGTTAATATCATCGATTTTACGATGGATCCTTCACAGGATCTCCTCGTCCTTGTCGCCCTTGCGCCACCAGAGTACGTTCCCTCCACAGACTTCACATTCTACCGCTTAATTGAGCAAAAACAGATCAAAGTTTGTTTACGAACTACATATTCGTTCGATCACAACGAATCTGCCACACCCCAAATCTCCGTTGTCCGTGCTTCCATGCCTCGTCAAACCCTCAGCACCCCCCCCACCGTCAGAAGTCATTGCAGCTGTTCGTGTGCAGGTGGCAGGAGATCTTGTTGCCTTGCTGATCAAAGAAGTCCTGGACAGCGCTGGCGCCCATCTCGAAATATGGAACTGGGAACATAGCCCACAATTTTCGGTGAGCTTAATTGCCTGCTTCATTGAATAAGTACATGTTATTTATTCGGAGTTTTAGTGCAAAATGTCCAGACTATCCGGAATCGACGATTTTACCTTCCTGACGCACAACGCGTTCCTCCTCGTGAGGCCTACGGGCCGATTTGAAGTTTACAACTTTGAAGACCCCCTCTTCTGCAGCACTACTCCCATCATGCGCAACACATTTGCATTTCCTCAGCTCTCGGACGGTTACATGTATTGGTATATCTCGATGAGCAGCAACCCTGCACCTGGTTACATACCTCGTGCATCTTCATCCGACAATCTTACTGGCAAGCAATTATACTACCCTCGCCCAGAGGAACGTGTTCATGCATGCTGTTTGTATATTTTCAATCCCGCGGCCGAAGAAAATCATCACGTTCACTCATTTGTGTTCTTCCTGAACATCGCCACACTCCTCAATCCACCTGAAGAATGGTTCCAGATACAACCCCCACCCACTTACATGGGTTCGGAACCCAGATTCACCATCGGACCGAGATTCCCAGCACAACCTCAAGGCTCACCCTCACCTACCACCGACAGCGAATCGAGTGCGTCCTCGAGCTCCGCGGCGTCATCAAATGGCCTCTCTTCCATTGATATTCCAATATATGGGCTTCCGTCAAGCTCCACCCCTTCCTCGTCGACATCCTCGCTTATTCCGATCATTGGCCCCTCCCCGTCCTCGTCATCCATACAACAAATCTTTACAACCCCGATATATCCCCCATTTCCCAGTTTCTCCTCCACCATCGATCTATCTCAGGTAAACGGGGCAACCCACTACCCGTTCCCAAACCCAGGTGTGACCCTAGCCCCTCTAACGGCGCCTGTACCTGCGCCTGCTCCTCGAAGACAAGGCCCCTTTCGACACTCCGCCACAAGCCATAACATGAATGTTACTATACCCTGGGAGGTCTGGGGCCCACAAAATACACGCTGGTTTGAGGAATGCCTAAGTACGGACTGGCAACATGCGATCTATGGACTTCGGACCGTGGAGAGCGTGAGTGTTGCAAAATGGCCGAATCTGCATGGAGGGAAAGGACCTTCGCCCGCTGGAGACGGAGCTGAGGTAGGTAGTGAACAACCTGCGTTGAACGGGCACGCTGCTCAAACGAACGGACATGCTCCCTCCCCATCATCATCATCATCACTTTCGGACGAGGGACCGATAGCAGCACACCCAGATTTGGATCTGGAAGCAGAGGACGGAGAGCCCGCTCGTCCTGAACAACGGCGTTTTTTGCGTATCAGGGATTTCAACCCTTACTCCCTGTCGCAAGCTGCTCAATTAGACGCCCAAGAGGGCTCGACAACAGACAAAGGGAAGCACAGAGCGCGCTGGCGTCAACCACGACTGGTAACTGAACCCTCGACGACACCCGTCAAGGGTGTGTTCACGAAGGATATCATTAGCTCGCTGCCTTACGTGGAGGTTGTCAGCGAACAGACGTTTGAAGTGACAGATGTGATGATGGATGATTGTCGAATGCTTCTTCTGAAAGTCAGTCCTCCCTTATTGCGCTTTTCCCATGTTTAGAGTTGGAACTGAACCCTTTTTTTCTCTTTTCAGCGCGGACAGGCGGGGAAACTCAAACGTGTCGATGTGCTAATGATGTAGTGGACCCGAATTCACTTTCCCCCTGCTTTCCTCTTTTGACACTGATCAGTAATGGGGTGCTACATTTATGGAGTATGTATGTTGTAGATGCGCTTTCCTAAAAAAAAATATACGTACAAGTGTAATAGTTGGAATTCAACAACAATATCGATGGTGATTCTTGGTGATTGTGGAGGATTTAGCAGAAGACCCTGCAGGGAGTTTTCATGTCGGTGTCGAGACCGCCACAATTAATTGCACGTTGCAAAGTGTCATGGTGCCATGGGGAATTAGTCGCAACGTAATTTTACGCAGCACTAGGCTTGCCTGACAGCCTCAAGCAGCCTCACCACACTAACAAAATGCATCAGCGAGATCAATAGAATTTTCCGATGGATGTAGTTCCTATCCTAACGCAAGATGATTCCTCGATACAGAGAAGGAGATGAAGCCTCTGAGAACCCCTGTTCAAATGAGTAAAGACAAATCAATGAAATCTCCAGCAGACCCTGGTCGGGCTTGCTTATCGCTCTCCTCATCATCACTGCTGTCTTCGTTATCTTCTTCTCCGCCCACAATAGAGCGCAAATGCTTCGTACGCGTACCACGCCACCGCTCGACCTTGATTCTTAAGAGATTTTCTACCTCTTCTAGGCTCTTGGTTGCTCCTAAAGCGGCCCTGAACCGCGGGAACCAAGATCGCCGACTGCTATCAGAACATGCAAGGATTGTAAGACTGAAATTCCCGTAGACCGGAAATTAAGGGCATACCATTGAAACCCCACGAAATGCCGTATGTGTGTTTGAACGGTAGCAATTTCGATAGTTTCAAAGAATTTTTTGGAAAGATCCAAATACTCCAAAGATATCTTGACGGGATCAGGGACGGTGCCCGCGAACAGGCTGGATAGAGCAGATCAGAATGCTTCCAATTAATTTGGAAGATCTCGAAGAAAACCAGGACTGCTTACCATGGGTTCCCAAGTAGAGTTTCCCCCACCATAACACCATCGGCTCCAGTGTACTCCGTGTTTGCCAGCAAGTCAGAAAACTCACGGACGTTTCCGTTGCTAACGACCGGAACTTGCAAGTTGCCTTTGAGTCTCTTGACCTCGTCGAGATTCGCAGAACCTTGTCTTCTCCGCCGAGCCGAAACGTTGCGTGCGTGAAGAGTAACCCAGGATACACCACACGCTTCCAGACGTTGAGAAAGGTCTAGCGTTGCGTGAGATGGTTGACAGAGCCTCAATTTCGCTGTCACAGGCACAGAAAAAGAACTGGACATTGCAGACACTTTTTCGTTGATATTAATTCCAGTGAATGAAATCACGATTTGACGGGGACACCCACCGATCTCTTCGACGAGTGGCCAATTTTTTTGTCCTAAAAGATAAGCGCCAAAATGCCCATCGCGAGCTGATTCTTGAGGACAGCCGAGATTTAGGTCTAGAGTACTTCAAGGTCCATCTCTAACCTGAAAAAATCGCCAGAAGATACATTAAACACGTACCTATCGCGTCACAGTGTCCTTGCAGTTTACGACCAGCCTTCACGATAGTTTGGGGATCATGCCCACAGAGTTGGATTACAACGGGACGTTCAAGACCGTCATCAGAAGCAATCGACAGGTCTCGCAAATGATACTCCAGGTAATCTTGATCGTTTAGAATTCTGTCGGGAAGGAGCATCTGTGTGTATGTCAGGCTTGCCCCGTATTTGCGCACAAGCAAGCGAAATGGGCCATCCGCTTGCTTGACCATAGGTGCCGCTATATATCTCAAGTCCAACGAGGGCATACTAGTCCAGGCAACGTTGGGAGATACAGTGGTGGTACTGTGGAACTTAGAATGATCACACAACTTCCATATCAACCACCAACAACAGTGGCTATGTACCACCTAGATCTCGCTTTTCAACTTCAAAAAGTCGTACAGAACCGATCGCAACGTATCTGCTTCAGAAGTACTTCGGAAAGGTCCATCACGACATTCAAAGACGCTACGGGACCTGATACCAACCACAACCTGAACCCGACGACGCCACACCTAGATAACCTACTTCGTTCGGCTGGGAGTTTTCCTGGCCGTCGTTTCATGTGGCCATGTCGGAACTCAAGCTCGGAACACAGAGCTTGACGTTTCGTCCGAGTCAAGTCACCTATCCTCAAGTCTTTTCTACCTTGGGATGTGAGTTCCGACCTTGTTCGTTTAACCTTGATTGTGGCTGCGACACACCCTTCCATTGAGTTGTGTCACGAGCCCAACGAGCGGACGAAAGAGGGCAGAGCCTCAGGATGTCAGGGTTTGCTTCACATCGGCGGACTGGGCTATCAAGCGAAACGTGAGTTATGGCGCTTGTTAGATTCCACGCCTCGCCTAACGTTTATTTCGTGGACCAGACCCTCGGGCGAAACTTACGATACTCCAGCAAGACAGAACTGTGCGAAATCACTGATCTGTCATTTTATGGGCTGCTCCACGGTTCCAAATGGCTTCAAGATAATCAAGTCTCAAGTCTCAAGCCAACCACATCAATAAAGCTGTTGACGCAGGCTATGTCTTACGTCCGTATGGTGTCTTCTCAAAAAAGTTAACTGGCATGTATCACAGGGCTGTATTTACAACGGAGAAGACATCAGGTGTTACAATGACCCGTTGTAAGTATCCTACGCCGCTCTTCGATGGAGTTAATTGGCCCTGCAGTCGTTTACGTCGCGTCGGGGTTTTTACAACCCGCCGAGTTCTCGGGCCATAGTGAAGTTTAGCAAAATGCGTGTCAAGGTTGTGTCAAGGACTTTGAGGAAACCTTGCATTGGACTAGGCCTCGTGTCGCAGGTTCCGAATTCAAATTCAAAGTTTCGGAGAATGCTTATCAATGGCCAGCCACCCATAATCCTTGTCGTAGCTTCCGAGCTTTTGGCACGCGGATTCGCGACCAAGCTTCCGACCACACATTCCGTTTGACGCTTCCCCAGCTGTAGCTGGGGTACCGCCGGCTGGAGTTATATTATGGGCAACTTCGCAGTAGTCTTCGCTATTTTGACAACCCATCGTTTTCGCCACACCGTGCCTGAAAAACAATTGTGGTCAGCCTTCACGCTTCATCCTTGGATGTCATCTTGAACATAGCCGTAACCCTGGCCTCAGCTTGCATATCGCTCACTTTCCGGATCTGCATCTCTCCATAACCCCGACTTACGAAGCTTCCTGGTGTGCTGTTATTCGTCCCGGTACGAATGAAGTGAGACTGGATGTGGCGACTGCGATTCCGTACGCCAATAAGCTCCAGCACCTACATGCACCAACGGGAGCTTCTTGTAGTCAACTCCGGAACATGTTACTTTTGTCGCCCCTGCCAATCCGATGTTTTTTCTACCCTGCCTTCAATCTTCATTGCCCCCCGTCAACGGAAGTTTTTGCACCTATCCGGCGAACGGGAGGAAAGGCTTAGCTTATGGCTTGTGGCAGTTTCGCGGATTTCAACATTCGAACTTTTTTGAACAACGTAGGGGCCTCCAAGTTGCCATTGAAAATATTGGGAGAACACAATCGACCGCGGCAGGACGTTCGCTCACACCCCGGCTCGGCCCGCTCAGTCAGGATATCTATCAAAGGCCTCAATAGTGGTGACAGTTTTACCCATATTGCCTATGTGCGGTCAGACTCCATCTTTCGCTTTCGGAACTTCGATTCATCCGTCGTTACAAACAGTGGCTTCATCCATCGTGAGTGCGGTGGCCCTTATCTTTTTCATCATCTCCGTGCATGAGGTAACGCCCGCCTGCAAGTCGATTCAAGAGGATTTCAGTTTCCCAAGCAGGGTTGGGCACGACAGCATAAGGGTCGGCCCTCTTTCCCAGCTTATCCTGAAGCAGGTGGTATCAGCGAACTCTCTGAACCAGAACTTGCTACTCAATTGGAAAAACCTGTTGATGTTTGGCTCCACGGTCGAGTCATGATCGTGTTTATCTAAGATGAGTCGTAAGAGCCGCCAATTACTTCGTCTGCCAGCGCTCCAATACTATCACTGGTGGGAAATTTGCAAGAACATCAACTTTGCAAATCCGTTTCATTGACAGTATTCTGCCCCGAGTTGCTTCTACAAAGGACATATTTTTATAAAACTACACTTCAGGTAGTCATACATCTAGTCTATGTATCCTAGCTATCTCAATGAAACGGTTTTTGCAAAGTTGATGCCTTTGCAAAGTTCCCACAAGTGATAGTAGTTGTCTCCGGCCCTCCCGGTGTTGTGCTCTTCGATTTGAACATCAAGGGAGTTGTTATCGTTGATGGAAGGCAAGTTCGGCTTTCATCATATCAACGGTGTCTACTTTTGTTGACGGGATTCACACGGGAATGCGATTTTACAGTTTCTTTCTAAATTCTGGAAGTCGCCAGTGTTGGAGCTGGGTAAAGTCAGATCAAGTCCATAGGACCTTAAATCATCAAGGCGAAGAACAACGGCAAGAAGGATGTTAAAAAAGAGAACATAAAGCTTCTGGAGGCCAATTTGCCGAATTCTCCACAAGAGGTGCTTGAAAGTACGCACTTTTCCAAAACAGCTTCTTTCCGATCATTTACTCTTCTCTTTTCTTTAAAAGTCAGACGAATGTGCCCAACACTTTGTATGAGCCACCTGATCTGTACGTGTCCTTGAATTGTTTCTCGGCCTCAGTCCGCCACGTTTCAGCACGTTTCTTTCTCTACTTTTATCTTGAAGTTACCCCCGATTATGTCCGGAATGGCCTGTATCTCTTTTTGCCGCTGTCTTGGCCTGGACTTGCAATTGATAATCGCTCATCATGCTTGTTAATGGCGTCCAGGGGGTTCTGTGACCTGCCATGCGGCAAGTCACCTTCGCCTCGTGCCTTATCTCTTTACCATGTGCTCCAGGAGGCAGGTCCGACGTCATGCGGTCGTCATTACGGTCATAGGTTAAATCATGGTCAGATCACCTGGCTTGAATGCTTCCTGGCCTGCGAAGAAGTTTTCCTTCACTTTCTCACCTGGCGACGGAGATGATACTTTCGTCATTCATGGCTAAAACTCTGGTTCCGAATTGAAGGCAGTTGCTTCATTTCGGAGGTCATTTGGATCGCAAACCACAATCATCGGCTTCGGTCGCGAGACTTTCATAGATGAGATGTCGCGGATCATGTGCCACCCGATTGGAGCGTCCTTGCTACTTTTACGAAGAGTCTACATACCTTTCTCATCCTATCCCAAAACCCCGAGTCTGGCGTCAAATAAAAATCGTTTGTTTGACTTTGTCGCTTCAACGGGGTCTCCCTCAACTTTTCATCAAGTGACCACCTCTCGCATGTGTTGAAGTTTGGGGAAATGGACGCGCCACAATCCCTTGTGTGCGACTTTGTAGCTGTAGGACATGGTAAAAGATCATTAAGACATATGCATGAACCACACATACGTTCGCTTAGGCCGATTGATCAGAGAAAACAATATCGGGGGGAAAGCCTCTCTTCATAAATGCTCACCACCGATCAGATCGACATATTAGCGCGGAGCAATAGCCTTGTTTGACATATGGAGTTTTTGAGTTCCCTTGTCTGGATCTTCGGGGTTGGCTAGTGGCTGCGCTCAGGTAAGGACTTAACCTCGCAGCCGTCAACAACGCTGGCTTACAAACTTTTGACGTTTTTCCGTAGCAATATGGCGATTGACATGGAGAGCACCAAGTGCGACACAATTCACCAGAAGGATGAGAGAAGTAAGTCTGTGGTCTTGACACAGCACATGTGACTTGGGACTCCCTTGCACAAGCCTCCACCTGCCTCCACAGGTCCCCATAATTCATCCGGCCGAAACTTCGGGCTCTGATACCCCGTCCCTGCGTTGAGAGCCATCATGATCAATCATCTACATAGCCGTATACTTGCCTTTGCACCACGCGGGCTTCACAGCATCGAAGAAGCTTCACGAATCAGCAGATTGCGTGCAAACCAATACACCGCGTACCGCTTTCCGAGTGGTAGGTTCAGTGACATGCTCCCTCCTTCCCCGCACTCTCACCCACGTAGAAAGTATTCACTGGGCTCGGATGCGACGGAAGTTGAGAGGTGAACATCCGCGAAGGGTTATAGTGAAGGGTTGAAAGTATTCATCCCCAAGGTACCAGGGCTGATGAGAGGGTGATGATAAGCAGTGACTATTTGTGGGGAGGTGACAAGGTCCTGAAAAGTGCCGCAGACCTGTTTCTCGAATGCAACTGTCGATTCTGCTAGGAGGGAAATTAAATTCAGGATCGACTCGGGGAAAAAACCGACGGCACGATGCACACAAAGCGGCGCGTTACCTGATGTCCACGATCCCCGACGTATACACTCTGTCGCTGGCAATGCAAAACTTTTTGAGCTAGCTATACTCGTGTAAAGTGCTTTCGTCGCGAGCCTTGAGCTTACTCTTTTAGAAAGAGCGGGTTCTGTTGTCGTTGCCTGGCCTGAGAGCGATCAGAATTAGTAGCTGGTTAATTGGCAGGTTCGTAGAAGGTTTGTAAGGGTCGGGACAATGCAACCGGTGTCAATCTCGACGTTCCAGCTTCAATGAATCGTAACGGCGTCTCGCTAGTTCTAGAATCTAGATGAATGTCAAGTTGTTTATTGGATGACAGAACATCGCTAGGATCGTACCCATGGGGCGGTTCAATTCAGATTCGCAGCCAGTGAGATTTTTATCCGTGTGTGATTGCGATGCCAGCGATGAAGCAATCATCTGCAAATTCGGTGTTCAAGTTGTTCGCCATGGCTGACCTGAAAGACCGGCACACTCCGATGCTGCCCCAATGACTTGCGAATTGGAAAATTTGTTGCGTGGACGTTGTCACCTGGCTTCACGCTAGCGCCAATGGAAGTAATCGGAAATGTCCTGCAATGCCTGAAAGTTACCTCCAAGGAGGTTACGGGGAACATTGGCCAATCAAAGGAAGATTTCGAGTTTGAAATTCTCACTTTCAGCAAACAACAACCAGGCATGGACAAACAAGAGGTTTTGATAAAGGTCGAATATTGATCTTGTGTCGAAAAAAAGCGCGAGAAGGTGCTTGGGGACAGCTTTTCATTGTTGTAAAAATACAAATGGCCCATGAGATGATATACTGAAATGATGAAACAATGCTACGGAGAAGAGATGGTACACACAACACCCAAGCTCTATATGTTAATGATGTTCCATCGTGAGGGAGAGGGAGAGGATGTGATATGCAGACAGATGGCCCAGATGAGAGTGTCAGATAAGATTAGGGATATCGTGCTCGAAAGTACGGTGAGTGCCAGTATGGGCGGGGGTGTAAGATAGAGTAAGGGGAGATGAAATCCTGTGTCCGACTCATGAGGGGTTAGATTCAATCATCACCTTGAGCACCATCTTCCCATCTTCGTCCTTCCCCCGAGCCAGGAGCTCAAATGCAGATTTTGTATCTTCCAGTGGGAAACGGTGCGTGATGAGTTTCTCAACGTTCTCCAGCTTTCCCGATGATAGGAGCTCCAGGGCCGCTGGGTATGTGTTTGCGTAGCGGAACGAGCCCTGGATATCGACTTCGCGAAGAGCGGCACTAGAGAGGGGTAGCATAACGTTGCGGGAGCCCATGCCAATGAGCATGACCTTGCCGCCGGCGATTGCGGCCTGTTAGAAAGGGATAACGAGATGATCAGTAACCTGAACGAAAGAAAACAGCGAGGAAAAAGAAGGGCAGAATGAGATCACGAGATCAGGGAACTTACATGGACTGAGGTCTGGATGGCTGGTTCGGCGCCTGTGCATTCAAAAACGACATCGAAGCCGTCCTTCGCCTCGAATGTGGAGAGAGCCAACTGTGCGGTCTCCTTTGCGCGACGGAGTTGTTCGTCCGAGGTCTTGGCTTTGTCGGCCATAGGGAGGCAGAAGACCTGAGAGGCGAAGCCGTTGTCTTTTGCAAAGTCGAGTCGTGGTTGATTGATGTCGATGGCAACAATGCGGGATGCGCCCATTGATTTGGCGACGGCACAAGCAAGAAGGCCAATGGCGCCAACACCGAAGACAAGGACGGTTTGACCAGCGGTAAGGTTCGCGCGGCGGGTAGCGTGGATGAGGACAGACAGGGGCTCTGCGAGTGCGGCTTGCTCAAAAGTGCAAGAATCTGGCAGACTGAGCGAGAGCGTTGGTCAGAGACGTCAGCAGGCGATTGGATGTAATACGTACTGGTGCAAAACGTAGGCGGGGTGGTTCATACGCGTTTGGAGGGTACCATCCGCGTGAGGGTAGACGGCAGCGCTGCTGCAGAAGCGCATGCTTTTGCAAAGATTGTACCGTCCTTTCTCGCAATAACTGCAGGTGCGACAAAACACACCAGCTTCTATCGCAACGCGCTGACCAACGGTGAAGTTGTTGACGCCTGCGCCGATGGCGGTAACGACTCCGGCAGCTTCATGGCCAAGGACGAGAGGTGCACGCACAGCGAAGTCACCGTTGCGACCGTGCATATAGTAGTGAACTATAAACTGTGTGAAGCTTTGCCCGCAGGGAAATTTAAATTGAACGTACGATCGCTACCGCAGAGACCAGTGGAGGCAACAGCGACCTGGACCTGGGTGGGCGCCGGTGGCCAGAGGGTGCGGTCCTCGATGCGAAGATCCCTGGGACCGTGGAGGACGGCGGCGTTCTGTGAAGGAAGGGCTACGGGAGACATTGTGGGTAGTTACGAAAAAAGGGTGAGTGTCGCAGGGCCTTCATGCCGGTATAAATAGTCGAATTTTGTGGAGGAGTGGATTCAAATGCTGTGACGAAAGTAACCCCATGTTTGTGACTGGCGTGACAGACAGGAGATCTACCCGCGGTCCGACGACCCGTAGGCGCTGTGACGATCTGTTGCCCAAATCCGGGTGGGGTGTGTCGAGATCTGTCACAGATGCGCGATCGGGCACTGCCTGCCCCCCCTCTTTCAGCCACAGATCTTTTTACATATTAATTAATACAAATTAATAATAATCAGCAGCATCCATTTCCTTTTTCAGCCCATTCATCCTTCATTCCCCGAAACTCCCTTTTTTTCTACTTTGCCTCTCGATTCGGAGGGGCGGAGCGAGCTCCGTTGGGCAAGAATGATGTCCTGCAAACGGAGGGAATATTGTTGTGCCAGTGGTCAACGGTAAACCCAACTTAAACCCCTGTCGTCTCGGCGCGGTTGGTGTCGTCGGTCCGACCCTGGCAAGTTAAGACCGGACAACGATTTCTACCCCAAGCAGCCCCAAGCTCCTACCCTTTCTTATCACCATGGACCCATCGCCTGCCATCCCTGCTTCTGCCCTCTTTTCGCTCAAAGGCCAGACTGCGCTCATCACAGGTGCAACTAGAGGTCCGTACACGCGTCCTTCCAACACTGTCAATGGCTTCTCAGCTGGGCCGATCGTTCATCGATTCAACGCTCTTCTTCATCTCATCTTCTGTCGTAATCTTTTTTTTTGAACCCTGGTCCCCATTTGTTCAGGCATTGGCGCCGCATGCGCGATAGCGCTCGCCGAGGCCGGAGCTTCCGTTTGCCTGGTTCAGCGCCAACCTTCGGAAAGCACACCCCCTAATCACGAGACCCTCAACGCCATTCGCGCGCTAGGCGCCACCGCAGAGGTTGTTTACTGTAATTTAGACGACCTCGACGCCGTCAAAGGCCTCTTCCAGAAGGCTCTCGATGTTATGGGCGGCCAAATCCATATCCTTGTCAATTGTGCTGGAATTCAACGGAGGTCTCCAGCTGTGGCCTTCCCCGAAAGTGATTGGGATGATGTAAGTAAACGATATTCGTACCTTTTCGTTCTTTTGCTCTCCCCATTCTGTGTAACAATTCTACATCCGCTTCTCTAAACATCGTGTTTTGCCGTCCTCCCTCGTTTTTAACGTCGTGTCCTTAATTTTACAAACAAATCTGATCTTCGATACTTCTTTCAGGTCCTTAATGTGAACCTCAAGTCCGTCTGGCTATTGTCACAAGCTGCTGGCCAGCACATGGTTCCCCTCCGCCGAGGCAAGATCATCAATTTCTGCTCCCTACTCACATTCCAAGGCGGTTTGACCGTTCCGGCATACGCGGCGGCGAAAGGAGCTCTTGGCCAGCTCACAAAAGCTCTTGCGAACGAATGGAGTTCTCAAAACGTTCAAGTAAATGGAATATGCCCAGGGTACATCGCGACCGACATGTGAGTCTACGTCTAACTTTAATTTCCGTGTTATTTCAGCACCATTTCAACATTTTCAATTCCTTTTGAACGCGTTTCATGGAAACATCCGTTTTTGGATAATTGTAATTCTGTGTATCGTTCAATGTCATTGACGACATCCAGCGCTTCTTCTCGTTTCGATCCCACACTCATTTGTTGAGAGTCCGCGGCGTCGCGCTAGGCCCCTTATCTCCTTCATTTAATCTCGCATCATTCATTCTCGTTGTCGAATGCAACCCCGACGACATGTTTCCACTCTAACTCTATTGACTCTCCCTGAATATTCTATCACACCTTGAAGCTCGCCCATCATTTAATCCTCCCTTCAACGTTGCGCCCTATTTGTTGCTTGCTTTGTCCTGACATCATTTTGACCTTCAGGAACGAAAAACTTTTGGCGGACCCCACACGGCTGCGCCAGATTTCGGAACGTATCCCTGCAGGACGATGGGGACAGCCCAAAGACTTTGCAGGTCCGATCGTGTTCCTCGCGAGCCCAGCAAGCCAATATGTTTGTGGTGAATTGCTCGTCGTCGATGGAGTGCGTGCCTTTGTATCCCAAAAACTGGTGCACCGACGCTAATTCTGCTTCTTCAGGGCTGGATGGGCCGGTGATCGACACGAGTCTCATTGGAGTGCCCACTTCCAAAAGCGGGGTATTAACTTTCTTCTTGTGGGTGTATCATATGTATAGGACTCGGGATGTAGTCCCGGACCGCACTTATTTACCGATTCCTCATGTATGTTTTTATCGCCGATCAAATATCCAAAAAAAAAAAGGCTCCTCAGAAGGGATAAAAAATTGTTTCCGTCGTGCGGAGGCCTCGTTGGCCTTCTGGAAGACAATCGGGGGGGAAAGTAAGTAGGAGATCACCGAGCGACAGACAACATTGGCCGAACGAGATTTTTTATTATGACGAGAAGGTGAAGAGGGCTCGTGGGCCGGCAGTGCGGTCGGGCCGCGCCTGGTTTGACTCCATCGCTTTGATTCTTGCTCATGGTGGTCATTTATGGTGTTTATGATAAGGAGGATTGACGGTGGGTTATCACGGCGTCGTCAGATAATCCATCATTGTGATGGAATGTCCCAAATGTAGATATATTCTGTGAATTGTGAGCTCGAACGTTGGAGAAGGAAGGTGTTGCACCGATGCTGATGTTGGTCGAAGAGAACAGGCAGATACGATCATAAGATTGGGGCACATACGATAGCAGTGAAATAAAGCATATATATTTGACTTGTGCGGCATAACCGAGCTCACAATGTATATTTAGAGACCTTTTGCACATTACTGCGTAATACGTCCAGCAAAAAGTAGGTGCACGCACTAGAGGTAACGTGAACCACTTGGTGGTGGATTGAGACCAGGCTCCAGTAGTGAGACAGTGACGAATATTCCATAGGTAGACAGGCTTGCTTCCACAGTGCAGTTAAACAGGCGAGCAGATCTCAACAACAGCCCCCCCTCTCACCTTATGTTACAAAGCTCCTGGAAGAACCCGAAAACGAGACTAGTCATGCATGGCAGCAGTGGGTATACGGCCCGAGACCGAGATTCAGAAAGAAGGTCGGGGGGAATAAGGTCCTTCATCAGAAGGAACACTTTTGATCCGTCCAGCAGTGTTTTAAAATTTACAATACTTTCCAGCGGGACAAGCAATTCGAGTTGGATGAAAAATTAAGGAATCCTGATCTTTGAGAGGTAAGTCGTGTGATATTGAAGCAAGTGTTGGCCCGAACGATGGAGGCAATGGTGGCCAACTGGTGGCCGAGAAATTTGCTAGACAAGAGCAGCCCAGAAAGACATCTCATGTAGCTAAGATGGACGGGATGCTGTCCGTTAAGATCAGCCCAGACACGAGACACGTTGAAAACAACCTTGTGACTTCAAGAAGAGGAACGCTCTAGTCTGCATCTTTCACAAACTTCGACAACTTTTTTTTCTTCTGCCCCTGGTGTACAGGACAGCGGAAAGATCCGACACCACAGCGAAGAAAAAGCCGGGTGGTGGCTGCCCTCCTGGTGTTCAGCGAGGTTTTCATTGATACAAATACCATGTGATCAAAGCTTTCGCAGTAGCGCGCCGAACATCCTGAAAAACTAGTTACGATGACCACGGGTACGACAGGTAAAGGGTTTGCCTCGTACCTGTTAGTTAGAGTTAAACAAGCACGCATGGCAGCATGGCATGGGGCCACTGTCATCACCACTGACCAGCAGGTAAGTATTCGGAGCAGCAGCACGTGTCTACGAAGCGGATAAGGCTTCGGAGTAAGACGTCTGAAGCAGAGATGAGATAATAAGGATTCTAGACCAGGCATGCTCAGCCGTTACGCACTGATATCGTTGATGAAGACTTCAAGGAGGTTCCACATGAGCGGGATTCTCAAGACTTTTCCCATCAACAAAAGCAAATAACGATGTTGACCAGGACCAAGAAGCGCCCAATCAACGCCCAATGCTCGTGCACACCGAAGGTTTGCTTGGGGATAATTGCCAAGGTTAGAAGTTCAAAATTAGGTCGTAATACTACCTGATACCAGTACACCGTACTACACCCAGCAACCTCGTATCGTCGATATCGAAGTCCCTCTGGACGACTATTTCCTTGACAATCGGCCCTGATTAATGATTACTAGGTGGGAACTTTGGGATGGGATAATTCCGTGAAAGTTGTGGCTCAACGGGACAGCGCTGAGTCCTCTTTCTTTAGCGCGTGTCTGCTAGCTGCTTCCACCACACTCTCCTTCCTAATTCGATGATGGCTTCACAGTGAATGTTTTTCGTGTTAACTGCTGCACATCGGCCATCCACTTCCCGAGGAAAAACAAGGAACGCTGAAACACGTATCAAGATCAGGGACTGCAGACCGAGGTCAAGGCAACATACGGTTGAATCCGACAAATACTACGGAAGACCGAGTGGACCTGACTCAAAATACATAAATAAGAACGTAGACTCGCATGCCTCCTCACTTGCTCCCCGAACCCTGCCATTCCTCTAGAAAAATTTTCATTTCTTCGTTTCTTCCCGTTCTCCTCACCTTCGCCATGACTATCGTTCTCACTCCGTATTGGTCAAATGGTGTTCAGAAACTTAAAATTGCCTCTCAATGTGCCTTGTCCCTCCTACTTTAAAAAGACAAGTACTCATAATCCATTCACTATTTAGCGCCAGCGACCCCCAAACCAGGTTTGACTCCCCCGGCGTTAAACGCGTCGATTCACGCTCAGCGTTGCCTGGCCCAGCTGCGCTCGAAGGACAAGAGCATTGAAAAATACATCTATCTGTCGCATCTTAAGAACGAGGATCCATCCATTTTTTACAAATTATGTTTAGAGAACATGGTTGAAATCACGCCTATAATCTACACGCCAACTGTTGGAGACGCATGTCTGCAGTTTTCACATATTTATAGACGCCCCGAGGGCCTCGTCTGTATCCCACAACCAGTCACATTGACAAGGAACTGACAACGAGGTTCTAGTATGTTTCCATAAAAGACAAGGGGAACATTCGTAGTGGTAAGCTCATTTGAATACTTTACAGGTCAAGTTCGCTGATAACCTTTTAGTTCTCAACAATTGGCCAAAATTAGACGAAGCTCGTATCAGTGTCGTCACTGATGGTATGTCGAGCTTGTAGCATAGTAACTTTTCCCTCATTTCTGCTCAGGTTCACGAATCCTCGGCTTGGGCGATCTTGGGGTTAATGGTATGGGGATTTCAATCGGAAAACTCTCCTTGTACATTGCCGGTGCTGGGTATGTATGCGGTAGTGTGCCTCGTTTTTTGCTTAAATTCACTCCCGATAGTATTCGCCCAGAGTCTACCATCCCCATTTGCCTTGACCTTGGAACAAACAATCAAAAGTTCTTGGACGACCCGTTCTACCTCGGAAACCGCCACCAGCGTGTATCAGACAAGGAAATGGAAGAGTTTATGGATGAATTTATGCACGAAATGTCTAGAGCATATCCTAAGCTGATGGTTCAATTTGAGGTTAGCTATGACTACATCCTTCGTTTGCAGTGTCCACATTTAATGCCCAATCAGGATTTCTCATCGGACAACGCATTCAAGTATCTCGACCGGTACCGTAATAAGTATGCGGTCTTCAACGATGACATTCAAGGCACCGGAGCTGTCGTTCTGAGTGGCTTCCTTAATGCGGCCAAGATCGCTTCGGCCGCGTCGGGAAGGCCTCTCACATCTCATCGTATTCTCTTTTTCGGCGCTGGGTCAGCTGGCGTTGGTGTTGCCATACAGCTTCAGAGCTTCTTCACCCTCCAAGGCCTGTCGACTGAGGAGGCTCGTCAACAAATTTATTTGATCGATTCGCAAGGCCTGGTCTATAATGCTCGTGGACGTCTAGCGGAGTACAAAAAATGTATGCTGCCATTTTCCTTGTTCCCTTCGTGGATGTACTCATCTTCAAAACCAGACTTCTCTAGGGACGACTACAGTGGACCTCCGATGACAAACATTCTGGACATCATTGATTATGTCAAACCCACTGCGCTTTTCGGTCTCTCTACTATAACGGTAAACATTGAGAGCAGCCTCGGTCCCTATTGCGATTCTGACATACTTACTTTCAGGGTGCATTTACACCCGAGGTTATCCGAGCCATGGCCGCTAACAACCCTCGCCCGATCATCTTCCCTCTCTCGAATCCTGTCAGGCTGTCGGAGTGTTCTTTCGCGGACGCAGTTGAACACACACAAGGTGCCGTGCTGTTCGCATCAGGCTCGCCGTTCCCTCAGCAACAGTATGAGGGGAGAACCCTGTACCCCGGGCAGGGAAACAATATGTACATTTTCCCTGGTTCGTTTTCCCATGCACGGCTAATTTCTGTCGCTGATCGCAATTCAATGCTCAGGTCTTGGTTTGGGAGCTATCCTCGCTCGGGTATCAAGCGTTACTGACAGCATGGTTAAGGCCTCGTCTCTGGGATTGGCGGATTCTTTGACGGATGAAGAACGGTCCCTTGGACTCTTGTACCCCAGGATCGAAAGGAGTATGTCATGCTTTATTCCTGTCATACTCTGCGTCATGCTGACATGTCACTCTTTTCTTTTTCAGTCAGAGAGATTAGTGCTCACATCGCAAAAGCAGTGATCCGCGCTGCGCAAAATGCGGTAAGTTGTGGGCGTAACTTAGGCATCCTGATCTTTGACCCTTTTTGTGCTTCCAGGATGTTGATCGTTCTATCGACCTTCGCAACGTGAGCGACAGTGAACTCCTGCGTTTCATTCATGGAAAGATGTGGAAACCTTGAACACTTTGATTCTTACTTAACTCCTAGCTGTCTTTTCGCTATTCCATGTTATCGTTTATAAATCCTCATTGGACAGTCGACGTCCAGATACAGTAGCTGTTTGTATATCGTGTGTAGGTTCAAAGTATACCAGCTTGTTGTTCGGAATAAATACTTAATTTGTTTACGGTGTACGGTGCTGGGCGAAAAGTCTGCAGGGGAAGACTTGCACACAGGATCTTGTTTCCAGGATAAACGCCATCAAGACTGAAAGTTATAGGATCAGGAACGCTTTCCGTTTGGCGGAATAAGGACGCCCATGCAAAGTGGGAATCGCTTCGTCTAATCGCATGATGGTGGTCAACAGTGACAAGGCGACTCAGCGGGTTCCTGATGTTCACGGCAGAAGGAGCGAGTTCACGCTCCTTCTGCCGTGAACTGCGGTGTGGCGCCTTGAATAATGATCACCATGGGAAATCACAGTGCGGCGATCAATGATAATGAAGAAACTGCCAGGTTTTGCGTATACAAATCCGGTACGGGAATAATGCAACGATAGATAGATTATAGATGACCTTAAAAATATGAGGGATGGCTAGACATGAAGTTTCATACACCAGCCATCCTCTTCAACACCACAAACTCCTCTTTCCCAGCTGCTTTACATAACGCGTAAAACTTGGATGCTGGATTGCTGAGTAACGTTGCCGGCCTATATCAAACCATTATGAGAGTTCCGGATGGAAAGAAATTCAAGATAATGCCATACCGGTCAAATTCTATGATACGGCCTTGTTCAAGAAGCATTACCTGGAGAAGTGGTGAGACCTAGATCGAGAAACGCAATAATAGATCACCAACCCTGTCGTAATCAATCACCGTCCTCAGGCGATGCGCAATTGTCAAGATCGTGCTTTCCGCAAATTCTCTACATAAAGATGTGATCAGAACTACGAAATCAATCGAATTCCAATAAAAACTTACTGTCGTATCGTTTTTCCAATCAGCTCATCAGTGGCGTAATCAACGCTATTGAATAGGTCAATTCCCTTACTTCCTCCACACATCTAAAACGACACAAACCTTGCTGTCGCCTAGATCAGCCGGAAAGGGTGAGCAAGATAACGTAACCATGGACAATGCTTCCCACCTCATCCATGACAAGTATTTTGGATCGTTTCAGTATGGCTCTTGCCATACATAGCAGTTGTTTCTCGCTATTGAGAAAAAAATTATGACAGGCCGTTTGAGTTGTCAACCATATATACTCACCCCGTCGAAAAGTTATCGCCGCCTTCAGATACTGAAGAGTCAAGGTCACGGAAGACATTTGCGTTGACCGCATTAGCCGCTTCCTCCGGTGTATCCTCTGATGGTATAAGGTGGACGCGACGAAGAGCTTCATACTATGGGAAACCGTGAGAAGGGTTTGAATATAAGGAAAGTGATCTTGAACCCACGATCTCAGCATCCTGGTACTCGTCAAATACGTCTAAAGTTGATCTTAGGCTTCCGCTTAAGATGGTCGGATCCTCTGGAGACTTAGTTAGGTTGCATTGCAAGATGATGCTACACAATTACTTACGTGGAATGATTGTGAGACGACTCCGAAGATCGGTCAAGCCAACTGTTGCCGTGTCGATACCATCAACCAAAATGCGGCCTTCAGTTGCTTCCACAAATCGGAAGAAAGAAAGGGCAAGAGTGCTTTTTCCTGAACCTGTTCGGCCAAGGATCCCAACCTTGTTTATAGATTAGTTGAGATCATTGGAAAGCTCGAAGGAGAGATACCTTTTCACCGGGATTGATGTCAAAGTTGAGTCCATGAAGAACGTTTGGAAGCTCAGGCTGGACAATGCGTGAGCTGGGGTTGTGTCGAGGATGGGATCTGGAATCGTACCGCATATCGGATAACGAGATCCTCGCATTTAATCTCACCGCGAGATGGCCATGACGTGGGAGGTCTGGGCTCGATGAACTCGGGTGGTTCTCGCTTAAGTTGCGTATATTCGTGGACTCGTTCCAATGCAACCTTACAGTGGAATAAGTTAATGAGATCACGCCGAAAAAGTTGCTCCTACCATCGATTGTTCCAAGCCGACGAATCGTCGCACCATGAAAAGCAGATCATTTGTAATCGTAGAGGCAAACGCCAGAGCGAATCCGGCCAGTGACGCGCTTATACTCGGCGTGATCAAGCAGACGACGGCTGTCGCTCCGACAACTCCAGCGGAGAGCAAGTTGAACCGAACAGACAACCAACGATTAACTAGAAGACTCTTAATGAGCTGCTGCTGTTAAGATGACCTGAATACGGTGAAACTTACCTCCCCACATCCAGTAGAAAGGATTAGCATTCTATTGAAGGAAGTATCAGCAACCCATTCCAATATCGCAAAGATCGACGAACAGTATCAACGCAACGAAGCATATCACGTAAGAATTTCGAAGATGCGCCAAAAGCACGCAAGATTGTGACCCCTGATATTGTTTCCCCATACATCGAGTAAAGGGGCGAACGAGTCACGGAATCTTTGTTCAGTGGTTAAACCCTTTTAGAAGAAACGAATTTGACAATGCAGGACCAACCTAGCCTCCTCATGTCTCGCGAAGTTTGACCATAAATCTAATGAGCAATGTCAGACAAGTAAAGACGAGAAGGTGAGGTTGTCAGACCTTCGCAGCTGGAAAACTTTGATTAAACATGGAGAAATTAAGATTGTAGCATAATGCATACCACTGTAATATAGAAGACCAAAACACAATGTTGCAGCCACAAAGGGAAGCCCTCCAACGACACTGACGGTGATTAAGGTGGTAATGGCAGACAATCCGTACATTCCGGTACGACCGAAGTTGTCCGAGAGGTTGCTATCAATACCTGAAAACCCAATAGCGTCAACAATGATGATCGAAGCCGCTCAAAGCCGCTTAACGCACCCTCAAAATCCTTTCCAAATCTGTTTAGTAGACGACCACGAGAAACAGTGTCATGAAATCTGATGTTTGCGAAGAGAACAGCTTCGAGAAGTCTCTTATACAGGACAGTTGATGCACGGATAGAGCCGTTGTAAAGAACAAACCACCGAAGAGTCGAGATGACGAGGCCAAGACCCGTAATACCAGCGTAAACCGAAATGTAGAATACAGCACTCTCGTGATGGTCATCTCCTGTCAGAGCGACATTGGACCAATAACTAGAAAGAGAGTCAGATGGAGCGCGATGCAGCTGTCATATCAGGGTTACTCACCGAAGCCAACCGTTCTCCAAAACAGGACTAAGCGATGCAATCACCAATATCACGGAGAACAGACCCCAATACCAGCTATTACCACATGCACGAATATAAGTTTCCCAGATATCCCGACTGATACGACCAACTGCGCGGGCCTCTTCTTCCACGAGCTTCCGAGGTTTTTTCTCAGATTTGGGTGTTGCCGCAACAGTTGAGCTAGACTCAGAATGAGGATCTGATTCGTCAGTCTCTGCCTGCAGGGCCATCTTTTCTTCAACGGCCTCGATGAGCTCCGCTTCTTCTGCCTTGTCACTGCTTTTGTCTTCATTCGTTGATTGAACCAAGGCTTTGATGGCGCCAGAGCTGACGAATTCCTCGCGAGACCCTTGATACTGAACCCGTCCGTTGTCGAGCGCAACAACATAACTCGCGCCAGGAACACATAACTGCACATGATGGGAAACCAAAATAACCGTCCGGCCTTGCATAAGTTCGCCTCGGAGGCATTGGTGGTACAAGTGATGCGCGGTATGGGCATCAACTGTTTGTACTCTGTCAACACCAAAGCCAGAGATTCGTAAAACAACACCGACCAGCAGACAAGACATCATCCAAGAAGAGGATGGATGCACGAGAATATACAGCGCGAGCGAGGGAAACTGAATCAACACAGTCAGTTGCGCAGATGCATTGGTAGATTCTTGGTCATACCTCGCGCTTTTTGACCACCTGAAAGGTTAACCTGAGCTTTGAATGAGCTGTTGATCATGATAAAGAGAGAGGGATTTCAAAACGTACCCCACGTTCACCAATCTCTGATTCATCACCATCTTCTAGAATCTCCAAATCGCTCACAAGAGCGCAAACCTGGGATACAAATATCAGAAAGGGCAGGCATGGATGGGGTTGAGTGGACGTGCCTCCAATGTCGTCTGATAGCGTTCCTCGTCATAAGGTAAGTTAAATAAGATATTTTCTATGCAGGAAAGAATGATAAGACTTGAGATTGAGGCAGAAATCAGGAATATATACCTTTGATAGATGCATTACGAAGCCACGCAGCCTTACATTGCAGAGTATTAGTAAAGGTCGATCAAGAGACAGCTACCCAAATTACCTGTGGAACGTAGGCGCAACTCCCCTGAACGACCCATTCATCCTTACGCGGAATGATTTTAGAAAAGGAGGCAAGTGAGTCGGGTGGAGATCTAGGACAGAGCAGTTGTCCAGTGAGTACGTCAGCTTCTCCCAGTAACGCAAGGAGCAATAGAGTTTTTCCAGAGCCCAATTTGCCGCAAATGAGCGACAACTCGCCCTGGGGGAAATCAAGCGAAAGATCGACGAGCATGAACTTGTGTCTTGGCGTAGAAGCAGCAGAGGGTGTGGTGCTAGCGGAAGCACGGTCCTGTGGCCAGGTAACAGTGCATGACTGGAGTGCAATTTTTTGGGTTTGCCTCTCCGAAGGGAGGACGCGGTCAACTTCAGCGGCGTGAAGATACTTTTCAATGCGCCTGAGAGATACCATGCTCTAGAATGATGAAACGACATCATGAATTTTTAGAGACGTCAGACAAGGGCATTGACGTACCTGAAGCATATTGATGAAGGTTTCCGGGAGCGCGTTGAGGGCAAACTTCATCTCTGTAAACACTAATTGTAAAGTGGTGAGTTAGATCCTGAATGATGTCAACGGCATCCTACCAATGATCTGGAAACATAGATTAGAAAAGCCGAGCATCTTAAGGAATGAAAAGAAATTACCGAAGTGAACGCAATTGATGGGGTCAACGACTGTTGCCTAACGACAGCGAAATGCCAGAAAGAAACCAATGTTACTAGGATAGGTGATCCATTCCTTTTCCATGATCAACTTCAGCGACACGGCCTACACATCAACTGAAGCCACAAACCAGATAGCATTCCAAAGGGTCTGTGATTATCAAGATAAGAAAAGACGAAGTGAAAAACAGCTAAACAATCCTCACCTCTATAGCATAGTTTAGCTTTTGATATTTCAGCTCCTTGTCGCGAACCTTGAGAACTCTAGCTTCAAAGCTTCTTTCCCAAGCCATAAACTGTGAGGAAACTCAGTTTTTGTGTCCCCGTAAGATAGATAGCATGCATCACCTTGAGCATCCGGATTCCCCCAAGGATCTACACAAAATTAGGGACGCCATGCGAATATGGATATCAACATACCTCATTCATCAACGCGACTCTCTCGTCACGCGCTTTCATCAAGTTTTCTTGTGCACCAACAACAACTTTTCCAGCGAAATGGTTCAAGGGAAGGAACAGACATGTGACAGCAAGCCCAAAAAAGCAAGAAACGCCTTTGAGTCCAAAGCGATTTAGCTGTTAACGGCTTATTGAGTATACAGATGGACTGACCCAGCAATTTGTACAAGAATATTGATCCAATAACAATTTCAATAGGACTATCTATAACAAATGTCAATTCCAAAACGACGAAATTTAATCACACACACATACCGACAAGGGCGAAGACATGCCACGCAAAATCACTGACCCTATCAACGTCGGTGGTCATCAAAGTCATGATCTGAGATTTGCTCGAGAAATCGTCCTCGTCGTCCTTCTTTGTACCCTCTGTAGCAGCGTCAGAAGCATTATCTTTTGAAGCAGTGGAGGACGGAGGTGGAGCGGAAGAGGCGACGTCTTTCCGCACCAAAGTTTTGGCAAATAGAATGGTGTTCAGCTGAATCTTTATTCGGACCGCGATGGTTGTGGTAGCCAGCGACCATAGCTGTCCAGTAACTAGATAACGCTGTAAGCAAAGAGAATCACGGTCTGGATGGAGTATAATACACACCCAAAAAGCCGACTGCGTTCGCTGAAAAGAGACCGATGGCATAAACCCATCCCCAGCCAGCGTTCTCTCGATTCCTGTCTATTTCTAGATACTCAACAAGCTTCTGCAAAAAAAGCGCCGGGGCGTAGAACAAGACCGCAGAAACAGACGCGAGGACAAGTTCCACGAGGAACGCAAAACTGTTCAAGCGAACCAAGCGATAACCCAAACCCCAACCAGAGCCAACTCTGAAGATGCGGGGTTGAATTTCGCGCATTGCCTTCTTCATGCGAGTATAATTGAACGTGGCACGCATGTTTCCAGGTACGATGGGTAGATCCCCGATATCAAGGGTAGTGGCAATGTTTCCGAGCCAAACTACCTTGGTGGTGTAGGAGAACAGTAAGGTATCCCACGCAGAAGCGCCTTTTACACAGATCAGTAGGGCTTGTGGTGTTACTAGTAGAACTACGCACTTATAAGCCCACAAACATTCTCATCATCCTTATTTGTGATCGAGTCCACAGTCTTCTTGGAGTAGATGTTTGCCGGAGGGAAATAGAGAGGCGGGCCAAGGGGTGTCGTAAATGTCAAAACACATAGAATAGTGTACAGCCCAACGAGGGTATACCAAAGATAGATTAGTACGGGCTCTGATTGGCCCACGCCAGATGTCGCAACCGGAGGGGGTCTGTCAGGAAGAATGGCGATGGAACCGAGGAGTGCAAATGCCACGGTTGTCAATCCGGTGACATGGAGAATGGAGTTCGCGTGTTCATCGGCTGTATTCTGACCCACTGACCGCGCGGAAAGCAAGAAAACGTAGAGCGAGAAGAAGAGTTGAAGTGAGGCGACTACAACATCATTTTGCTCTTCGTTGGCTGCAGCAAAGCCGAGAGCGACAGTGTTGATGACAATTGTAAGAGATAGAAGGAAAGAGATGAATAGTTTCCTCCATCGCATCTACCCAAACAGTGAGAAGAATATAACTTGTTGAGAGGAACACTCACCCGACACCAAAATGCCTCAGCTTGGATTGGGTATCCGTCAATGACATCCTCAGGCGTCGTGACGTCAAAAGGGTCAGAACCGAGATATTCCTCAGAAGCGTCGACGCTCGTAGGTAGTTGAATCTTTCCTTCAGGCGAACGAGTAAGGTAGAAAGTAATCAGGCTGGCAAAGGCACTACCGGCAAGAATACCGGCAGCGGGTAGCTGAAAACGAGGCATGGCCGGACGCCTGAACGCGTTGTGCGGTATAAGATGAACTAGTCACTGAACGGTCGCTTCTAGGATGTATAAAAGCGCTCTCAGTGACTCGACGGTTCCGCCTGGTGCGGTAAAGAGGATGAACCATGCGGTTACATAAAAGAATTTGAAAACCGAAAATTTTGCTGACAAATGACAGGTTTAACTCAGGTTTAGCGCCCATTTTACAACCCTGTCTGTTTCGTCATTCTCTACTCAACGGCAACCACACTTCGACCGAGTCTCAAGATAAACGTCCACAGTAACGAGAGTGGAATTCCAACCTTCAAGCACTCATGGTTTTTACCAGGAGACGTCGAGGGGATTTTGCCACTGTGGAATAAGGCGCCGAAGTCAATGAATGTTAGCGCGTCAGCGCTTAAGTAATGCCCATCACCGTCCCATATTTTGAATCCACCCAACTCGGAGCCGAAGATTTCGCTGCGGAAATGGAGGAATGTCGTAGTGTGGGATGAAGGGGACCGCGACACTCAGTCGGACATTAGGCACCCAAGGACAACCGATATTGGTCCAATGGCCTGTCAATGATGATTTATAACCTGTGTGTGTTAGGCGCACTACATAAGACTAATCACTCTGTGTTGCCTCAGATCAGTGAATTGCCGACACGTATTTGAGAGGTTCCAACAGTGCCATTTTCTGTATACCCAGTGCGTGTCATGCAGCTCATTCCTTGGAAATTCTCGAATCCAGTTTGGCCTCAGAAGACAACCCCGGTATCAAAACTCTGCAAGCATTATCGCAGACCTCTAGACTCGCAGCTGAGCTCTGTCCCAAGCACATCTTCTCGTTCATTTCGAGAACCGGCTTCAAAGACACTGTCCGTTTCTACGAACTTGTAAGGGTGAAACCAGACATCCCTCTACATAAGATGTTCACCGTCCCCTGTATTTACTGAACGGCGAATGAGCAATGATTTCGGGTAACAGTGTTTTGAGATTCGAGTGAGCCTTGCAGAATCGGAAGATTGGCCGGCCTTCGATCCTAAGCTCAGCATCACTATTGAGTGATTCGCGATGCTTAATGGTGACGAAAAGAATGCGTTGGAGACAAGATCGAGTCTGACGGCTAGTATTGGAAAGCTTAGAAATAGAGTTCGCGTTTTTTGCATGATACGCTAATTCCTGTTCGGAGAGCGACTGTGCATACGTGCTCATACGTGAGTATTCGTAAAGATCACTATGTGAAATCGTTCGCCTCAAGGTGGTGATAGTCTCGTTTCGAGATTTGAGAAACGTCACCGTGCCAAGTCGAACGCAAGCACAATTGAACACGCGAAAGAACCCTGCAGCGTGTTATTTATTCGTATCTTAGCCTCTAGTCTGGTGACCCTACTGACGGGCCGGGAAAAAACCTCAGCTGCTCGTACTTTGCATACGAATAAATTATTAGGTCAACCGCCAAAAAGCTTGTATGTAGAGCATGTTAGAAGCGCTTCAAAGTTGTATGTTTGACAGATCATACTTACCGAACCTCGGCATCCATCCACTCCGAGCAAGTCGGAGTCAACGCGTCATGACGCGACTGGACTTTCCGATTGATGTGGCGAGATATTGGGGTACATTTCGAACATAGGTCCCACCAGAGCTTGACCCTGCTGGCCAGCCATCTGCAGTCGATTAAATTAATGCACATACATCCAGCGTGCAGTGAGGCTTGAAGGGTGGAAATCGATAGGCTGGCGGTAACACAACATAGATGAAAGCATGAATCTAGAGCAGCCTAGCCCACAGATGATATGAATCGATGTGGAGTTGAAAAGAGGGTGCAAAGTCTACTGAAGACTCAGCAGCTCCAACGGCGACATGGTCCCCTTGCAGATTTATACTTTTTTTTCGAGTCAGAAGACGAAGAGCTTTTGGTGCCAGCTGTAGCCAAAGCGAAGAAGGTGCGGAAGATACTTTCAAAGAGAAGGGGACAGTGGTGGTATGGAGCGGTGGAGCCACTACAACATGTGGGAAATCAAAGGCATTCTATTTCAAGCGTGTCAGCGTCGGAAGAAGGAAATCGGAGGAGTGGCCGGCGGTTGCGAATAAGAGATGATGCATCGACAAGCGAGCGTACCCGGAGTGAAAGCGGGCGACGGCGGCGACGATGGGGATGAGTCGGATGCTGACAGAAAGTGGTGATCAAGAGGTTGATCAATGTTGATGACGTCGTTGTCGGGTGGCGTAAAGAATAGCCTTGGAATTAGCCCCGACCCGCAAGTAATTTTTATTTTCCAACATTGGAGTCCATTCGAAACTGATTATTTTTTTCTCTTCCGCGTATGTGCCAGGACGACGACACACGGCTAGCACGCCAACGACTATCCATTCAACAACCCACTCTCCCTCCATCCCGTTCCGGTAATTATCCAATTCTCTTCTTTCCAGGGTTAGGCGGCAGCTTTAATCTCAACATCTTACCCCATTTATGGACTCTCTACGAACAGTGCGTTTCTTCTTCTCTCCATGCACCATCCTCCCCTCTCATCCAGGCGGCGTTGCCAGCTCTCTCTCAATTCTCTCTCCACCACCACTCTTAGTCCCCCTATTGGTCTTTCTAACGATGATATCGAAGCTGTCATCCAAATGGCTACTTCCTCGAGATCATCTCCCGACGGTCATGCCCCACCTCTGAGGGATACTCGCACGCAGTTGTTTGTCGGAAACGTATGTCGCCCAACACGATCCCCTGACCATGTTTTCACTAATTCCCCTCATTAGCTTCCTTACAGAGTGCGATGGCAGGACCTAAAAGATCTCTTCCGAAAAGCAGGCACAGTCCTTCGTGCTGATGTCTCCCTGGGACCCGATAATAGATCTCGTGGTTACGGCACCGTTCTCCTGGCCACAGCTGAGGAAGCAGGACGCGCAATTGACATGTTCAATGGGTACTCCTGGCAGACTCGCACTTTGGAAGTACGACCAGACAGACTACCACCAGACTCGGAAACTCCCACAGCTGGTGCAACTCATGTAAACCCCCTCCCAACGCAGTCTTTTATCTCAGAGGAGCTGGACCATGCCGCGATATTCGGGGGACAGGATACGAGTAGCAGAAACCTTTTCGTTGGAAATGTGAGGGCATTTTACTAGGGACTTACAGCGGTCCGCTGACAACATACTTCAACAGCTTCCCTTTCACTGCCAATGGCAAGATCTCAAGGACCTGTTTCGGCAGGCTGGCACGATCACGCGCGCTGACGTCGCTTTGGGGCCGGATGGTAGATCTCGCGGGTTCGGGACTGTCGTCTTCGCCACAGAAGTAGACGCCGACCGCGCAGTGAATTTGTTCAATGGGTAACGTTTCCCTCTTCCTCTTGAATCTAGTTGTTTTTTGACACGTTCACGATAGCTACGAATATAACGGTCGTGCGCTTAAAGTGCACCATGATAAATACTCACAAGCAGGCCAACCCACGTCGCCTGTGCAGGCATCGTTTCAGGGTATGATGTCCGCGACAAGTGCGATGAGCAACACCTCGTCTTTTAGCTCGCAACACATTATACTTCCTCCTGGGTTCCAGCTTGACTTTGATCCCTCCCTGCCGAGTTCTCCATACGAAGTGTATCACCACCCCATTATTCCAGTGCCGTCACAGCAACAGCAGCTGCACCAGCAACAACAACTACAGCGGTTACACTTGGAGCACTCACGTTTAGCGAATGCAACGTCGAGGCTCGATATCGACAGTCTTTCAGCGTCTTTGAAGTCCACCCAAATCTCAAAGCCGCCAGCACAAAGATTACACCTCTCCTCGTTAATGAAAACGTCCTCACTGCCTATCAGTTTACCATCATCGAGATCCACAACAAGTATATCTGAAAAACCACTTTCCATCTCCTCTGCGTCGTCGATATCGCAACACCACCACCACCCATCGCGTCATCCAGGTCCCATCTCCCTTCCCCCTCTTTCCAACGTCACCTTTCCAATACACTCGCACGCGACCTCGCACCTCTTGCCGTTGAATAACAAGATCCAGCCGTTGCATCCACTCTCCTCGTCGTTTACAAACAACCCGAGCTCGACTCATAGCGCCACTAGCGCGAGCACACCACACGGTCTGCCTCCAATAACACCGTCAATGCCACCATTCACATTCCAGCCTCCACTCGCCTCTCCAGGAATCACCTACCATTCCTCCACCTCCTCATCAATCCGACAACAGCAACAACAACAACAACAGCAACCTCAACCCATTCCGCCCAGCCCTCTCTACCAAACATCCTTCCACCCTGCCCCTCACCCGCTCCACCACCACCAACAACAACAGCGTCAACCCCCCCCACCCTCTCCAGGAACCCATCCCCAACTGCATCACGCGATCCTAGCAGCTGCGTACTCGCCTGGCGTAGCCATGTCCCCAGGGGCGTTCTGGGGCCGTCCAGGGGAGGTCCAAAATCCATTTATAAATCCCGCTGTGGGGGCGCCGGTTCACCCACTACATCATCACCCACTGCCTTCACCTGCGCATGGTCATCCTGCCGCGGTGTATGGGCACGCGATGCATTCGCCTGGGGGGTACTTTTATTCTCCCCATCATGCTGGGGTGGGTGTTGAACCGAAAGGGTATTTTGATGCGATGTATTTCCCCCCTAACGCTGCGTCTGCTGCTGCGCTTGCGAGTTCTGGGGGCGTGGCTGCTGAGATTATGAAGGATACGTCGCAGTGTAATGTGGTGGAAAAGGATGTGGTTGTTCAAGAGAAGGTGGAAAAGGGAGTTGGAGTTGGAGTGGGTGGGGGGATTCAAGTGTCCTCCTCTACCACTACCACCACCTCTTCGTCCTCCTCCTCCTCGTTGTTGTTGGATGATCAGAGGTTAAGCAGGGATAAAAGCCCACAGTCTGCATTGAGTAGTGTGGCTGAGACGAACGCGACTGGTGCGTCGTGGTTCACTAAAAGTGAGAGTGGGGACCAGGACCAAGACCGTGATAGGGAAGATGTTATTGAGCATGATCAAGTGAACAAGACGCACTCGTTGAACGCCAGCACGAACAGTTTGGATTCGGGGAGAGGGTTTGACTCGGAGGGGAATAATGTCATTTCGAGGTCACATTCTGTGTCTGGGAGGAGGGAGAGCCTGAGTGGAGGTGCGTGTGGGAGGGCTAGGGGGATGGGTCAGGTGGATTCGATGCAGGGTGTGCATAGTAGGCCAGATTCGGACCCGTTGCAGCAGACGCATGGACGGTTAGTGGAGCAGGCTCTTCATGCCATCGTTTCTGGCGGCCAGTAGACGACTCTCCCTTGAACCACAAACCGCGACTGCAACTGAAAATATCGGTCGTACCACCCGTGGCAGAAGCTCGATAATTAAACTCATAGGGCGAAGGAAGTACTTTAATTTTAGGACCTTGCCGAGAGTCAGTGTTTTTGTTGTATATGCTAGGTTTGTGCACTGCTGTTCGTTCTAGTGGGTTGGGCTATTTGTAGATTACTATTCTCTTTTTTTTTTTTTTTTGGCATTTCAGTTTGTTCGTCCATAGTGTTGGATCGATACTGCATACTTGTAGCACATGCACACCACCCATTGTAGAATTATGTTGCAGCAAGTACTTCCAGAGGTGATTGAGAATGTGTCGGGCGACTCGGGCAGCCATGACGTGCATGACGTCACAACTGGTTCGAAGTTTCCCTATGAAATCTCAATCGACCCAACGCTTATTCGCAACCTCAGGTCTTCATTGAACTATCATGCAGCTGTCCAAAGTATCCAATCCTGTGTTCCCCAGCATCCAAGATATCGCGCTTTATACCATGTGTGACTCGTTGGCAGTACACAAGGATCTTTGTGCGTCCACCCAATTCAAAAAGTGGCGCATATATTGATATTCCTGCATAGACGGCTCATCACTGGACGGTCAAAGGTCGATAGCCGACTTTTTCAAGCTACTTGACCATTTTATCCGCGTTACTCCCGACAATGACCATAAACTGCAAAACTTGACGACACGCTCACTCCATTGACCATTCCTCCCGTCGAACGATCGTCTCCGGGAATTATAGCAGCTGGGAACTACCTTATACGTATGCGAGTTTCCTTCAGCTAACGGTGGCTCCTGATTCTGACTTCTCTTTAGTGCCTTCAGTTGAGGGTGGGGAGATCGCGTTCAGGCCTCTCGGTCTTACTTTTTTCAACTTCCGGCTTAGCCCAACCGCCACACCTTTAGAACGTGCAGCCAACCTCTATGGAGTGTCTACGACAAGTGAAAGATCGAGCAGGGTAAGATTGCACCTTTGCCGCCCACTTGTAATTGTTAACTTGTCGCAGGATCCTCCAATCCACCCCCAAAGCTTCAAGATGAGACTCGTTCAAAGAGATAAAGGATGTGCGGTTTGTTTGGCAGCCGATATCCCGGCGTTCTACCAATACGACGGAGACTCTGATTTTTACAAAGGCGGACATATCATTGATCTCGCCTATCATGCCCTAGTAAGCTCTCTACAATTCTCTGTTGCCTTTTCACTGGCACTTATCCCATCATTGTCAAGTGGGACGCCAAAGGATATCCAGCACTCGTCAGAGATCCTTACACCGATCCTGCCAATGCCAGCAACCGGTTTGCGAGTCCGTCGACACGGACAAAGACGGACTCCAGGCGAATGAACTCCCTGGAGAATGGGATCTTGTTTTGCCTGCAACATCATAAGGATTACGAGGATTTTCGCTTTTCAATTCATCCTGAAGTCAAGACCTCTTTCCCTCCTTGTGCGATCTCTAAATTTCTTTTGAGCAGACCCACGAGATATTTTCTTTCCATCCAGCCATTGCCGCGCTGCAGGGCGTTGAAGTGAAGGCCCCATGGGACGGTTTGGATCCTCTATACCCTCCTCCGCTTCCTGCTTTCCTCCAGATACACTACTTCTCGTCCATTGCAAAGGCTACGAAGAGAGGTGGGGATGATCATGAACTAGATGACGATGATCATGACAGTGAAGAGCTCTCCGAACCGGGGGAAGTTTGAAGGGAATATGGCTTGATGGCTTGTCGTAGGACAGGGAGATTACTTGATGTTCGGCTTTTGGTCTCTGTCCGCCAAACCACCTTCTTCATTTTGCAACAAAAAAGGGTCGCTTCTCACAGGGTTCGTCCATAGATACTGCATACTTGTATTATAGCACACACCACCCATTGTATAATTTGTTAAACGAAGATCGCTGCGCGGGTAAGCTAAACGACTGAATACGTAGAGTAACTATCACTAAGTATGGCTAAAGGCACGTAGTATTGGGAGGAGATCGGCACTATAACTCAAGGATTCGAAGTTTCTATTCCTTAGGTTCGGCCACGTTCGAATCCATTCAAACGGGTTCGCGAATATTTACTGCCAGTTGGACGCTGTGGTACATGTACAACTTCTTCGTGAAGATGCAATACCGTTGTCTTTGTGGTGTTCACGCCAACGGACTATCAAATCTCCTTCATTCGTCTATCATGGTAATGGTATGAACTGGTGTCGTGAGCTGGTCGGGCATGGGAGGGTTCATAAAGATGGAGATATGTGGCCCTTCCGTGCAACTTCCGCCGTGTACAAATGCAGCTTTATCCTACACATGTACCGAGTACCTAGTCATCCCCGTCATAACGAAAATGTGCTACTATGCATCCAGGTCAAATTTGAGGCCTCAATTCTTCCATCTACAACCGAAAATGCATCAGCTGCACACAAAAACAAGCACATTTTAACGGTTCCGTCCCCCACTAACAACCTTATCAGCCACCAAGTCTACACAATACACCTCGTCTGTGTGTCCCGGAAGGTCGGTCTTAATCTTATACGTCTTCAAACTCCATATCTACCACCCCCAAAATTTATCATCAGAAAACTTCAGTCAATTCCACGAAAGGGAGTAGAACGAACCTTGAGCGTACTATCCTTACTAGCACTAATCAACAACCGACTATCAGCACTCCACGCAAGCCGGTACACAGCGCCAACATGGCCTCGAAGAGTGGCAACAAACTTGCCCGTCCCATACGCGTACGCTGTTATCCCAAGCAGCTGACGCTGCCCACTGTCCGTCTGGTAAAAAGCGACGTGGGAGTCTTGGCGCTGGTGGCCGTCAGTCGGGCGATGGGTTTGGTGGAGGAGAGGGGGGACCAAAGGAAGAGGGTGCGGTCGTCTGAGTCGGAGATGAGCACTTCTGTTGGGGAAGTGAGGAGGAGGGCGGTGTACCGCGCTTGTGCGAGTTTTTGGGCTGTATAGGGAAGGGTGGGGTTAGTGGACTTGCTTGCTTGATAGAGAGGGAGACTGACCGTCTTCGTCGGAGGCGAGTTTCTCGCCTGTATGGTGGTACGGACCCGTACGTAAGACGGAAATCGTATTCAGAGCGAGAGTGGTCACGCAATGCGCGTGGTCTTTGAGTGTGTGCATTGGTTTTCCTTGTTTTGTATCCCATATTCTCCGTTCGATCGCTGCTGGCGGTGTAGAGCACGTCAGCCCCACCCCATTTAACGATATTCACGCTGGTGGTGTGTCCGCCCAGGGTGAGCTCTGCGCGTCGAGTTACGAGGGACCATACGCGGATGGTGTCGTCTTTGAACAATGATGCGAGGCGCGGGGTAGTAGCGTTACTTTTGACCAACTCAGCTGGCGTTTGACTAAGAAGGCGAGAAGGTGACTCACAGGTGAATGGGTTACCAAGAGAGCGACGTTATCCATTTCGTGTGGCCTTTCAACGCGTTCCCGATCGGTTTGCCCGTTTTTGGATCCCATATCCTTACTTGAGACGAGTGTCAACTAGCGGGTCCAACGACGCGTCAAGGAGGAGACCATCCACATGTCCGTCATGTCCCCCACTAGCCAACTTCCGCTCCATAGCGCCCCACTCAACACATAAAACCCACCATGGCCTGACAGAACATGTGAGGGAGTCTCCGTGTTGAGGTCCCACAAACGCACGTTGGTGTCTTCTGAGCCTGTTGCGAGTAGGTTGCCAGTGGCTGAGAATGAAGCACATGATATGGGAGAGGTGGGTCCTGTTATTGTTATAATGAGTGGTGAATTGAGAAAGAGAAAAATGCACGCGTGAGGACACGTACCGGAGAGGGTAGAAGAGCATCTTGAGGCTGGTCGGACACGAAACACACTTCGTGGCGATCAGTGCACGATGAGGATCTCTTCAGACGTAAAGTGCCTGATGTGTGGTCGAGCACGTCAGCTTCGAGGGAATCAGAAACGACGATGCATGTAGGTGCTCTTTGTGGGGCGTTCTTGTCGTCAGGCAGGTTAGCGTGGAAGGAGAACGGGTCCCTCATCCTGCATGTGGATAAACGAGAGGAGGGGGTGGCAGGTGCGAGGGATTGGACAGCTGCTATTCAAGGAGACAGAGACTTTGCGTGAGTGCTCTGTTCTGGTCAGGCTTCTTGCCCATCGTTTCGAAGTGAAATCCCGCGGGGGGGTCGGAAGAGTTGGCTCAGTAGTGCGAGTTGGGCGTTGGTCTGCGAGCAGCAATTTTGGCGCAGAGCCCTGGCGCCCAATTAGAATTCCGACCAATTCCCACAATCATTATCTCCGACTTCAGGTCTTCTCTTCTTCATCGACCACGACGATCCGACCTATCAACGTCTCGAGCCCTTCCAACTTTTCTAGTGCTCATATTACAACACGCCATTTCACTCATGGAACCTTCGTCATCAGCCGCATTCATGCCAAACGCTATCGGAACCACCATCTCTGGAAGCGCACAGGTCAATAACGCCGGCGGCAACATCGTTTTTAATGGCCCTCCGGCCCATTCTCCCGCAGGTATGTCAGGTTTATATGAAGCTCCAATACTATCAAATGGTCCATTGCGTCTAGGTCTTCCAGGCTTGCTTAAGCCTGTCAGCAACGCCACCCATACTCGCGCGGGTCATGTTGCTCGATGTGATCCCGGTACCCGCCTAGAGGTTATCACCCAGATCAAGGAGTGGCTCAATGATTCTGACAACCGAGCTCCTGTCTGCTGGCTCAACGGACCAGCTGGCTATGGCAAGTCAGCGGTGGCTCAAACCATTGCGGAGCACTATGCCGCAAAGGGCCGCCTTCTAGGGAGCTTCTTCTTTCTTCGAGGCGCTGGTGAACGTAGCCACATATCTCGCCTGATTCCTACCCTTGCCCATCAGATCTCCCTTTCTATTCCTGCTGCAAAGCCATTACTTGAGACGGCTCTTCGCGATGAGCCTGCCTTGCTTGAGCCCTCTGTCGCTCTTGCTCATCAATTTCAGAAGTTAATTATAGATCCAACTCATTCCACCACATTCGAAATCCTTTCCCGCATTAAAGCCTTTTCTCTTTTTACAAAGCGAAGGATTCTTGTTATTGATGCTCTTGATGAATGTGATGACAAGGCTGAGATGGCAGCCTTCATTGATGTTTTGATCAATGCATCCTCAGGAAAAAGTTGTCTTCCTTTCCAAGTCCTTCTCACCAGCAGGGTGGAGGAACATATTCAGAAAAGGTTCAATGATCCTGGTGCCCAGTCAGTTTTATACCATCTGGACTTGGCAACTTATGATGCTCGTCTGGATATCCAAGTATATTTTGAGAAGGAGTTTGGTTGCATCTATGACCAGAATATTCGAAAGATGCAGAGGATATCAAAGCCCTGGCCATCTGTTGAAGACCTTGCTGTACTTCTAAATCAGGCTGGCAGTTCATTTGCATTTGCCACAACATTGATCCAATATGTTGGAGGAGCTTCCATGCCACACAAAGCTGTGCAACAACTTTTGGAATCTGGAGCTAATGGTCTGGATCCACTCTATAAACAAGTTCTCTTCTCTGCTTCTGGGACAGCAGCTCTTCATCAGATTCTTGGAACAATCATGATCCTGGAGGACAACCAATCTATCTCTTTTCTCAGTTCCCTCCTCAATCTTCAGCATGAGGAGGTTATTCATGAGCTATTGGGGGTACAGTCAATTATCAAAATCCCAGGACATGATGATCAGCCTATCATGCTCTATCACACCTCTCTCCGGGATTTTCTGACCATTAAATCACGATCAGAGCAATACTTCATTGATCCTCCCCTGCAACATCTTCATCTTGCCATACACTGTTTGAAGCATCTGGCAGAGTACCCTTCAAAAGACTTTTTTGAGGGTGATGTGGCCAACTATGCTTGCATGAACTGGCCACACCATATTCTTTTAGGATTTCAGAAGCAGCAATCATATGTGGATGGAACAATGATAAACTCTTTGAAAACTTTCATTGAAGGTTTACTAACTTTGCAAGGTAAGACATGGTGTAATACAATACTGACTGTTGGGGAGTCTAGGTGGACAAGAATGTCAAGAGATATAAAGAACTTATTTCAAGTCAGTTGTTTCAATTTTCAGATGGCCATCATACTTTTTGACATATGTAATACATTGCAGGTGTCAGTTGTTAAAAAGAATTTGACCAAGCTATTTGAACAACTTATTGATTTCTATGAAGTAAGAGTTTATGATTAGGATATCTTTGCTAATTTATCAAGATCTTCCAACAGCAAGTAAGTAACAGGGGAACAATCCTGATTAAAAGTTAATCTATAAGCTGAATAGGAGGTATGTGGTAACTAATAGACATCAAAATAAAATATTGACCTGGTTTACAGAAAGTAAGTGAAGAGATGTTAATATTTTATCGCTGTTGATAAAGCACAGGAGGTAAGAACAAAATAATCATTAGACAAAAACAGAATTTGAGCTTTATTGTTTTTTTTTTTTTGCAGAATGTATGTGTACAAATTGTTTGACCTTTAAAAACTCTAATGGTTGTCATTAGTTTGTGAGCAATTATTCTATATAATCACATCTTATCATCAGCTGTCCATTTGTTTCAGGAAGTAAGTATGAACTGTTGATTCTACTACTTATATAACTAATGTTCTTGTTTATAAATCCAGAGGGTAATACATAGTCTATTCACATTGTCTCTGTATGCCTCTCTAACATGTTTTTCAGTGGGTAAGTAATTGTAAAATTTATGAAATAATTTTAAGCTAACTCAATTGTTTATATGAAACCATCATTTCTTAGTCTGTAAGTTATTCTTCTATTGACTATTATCTCTTCTGGTAACTCATTGTTATTATATGCTTTGACTTATTTCAGAGAGTTAGCTTTCTTGCATTTTACTTTGCACACATCTAAAGACACATACTCTTGCCTGTCTTTTTCAGTTGGTGAGTTGGCATGGCTTTTAATGTGCACTCTTCTAATGATACATGCCTGGCTATTATTTTACAGAAAGTGAGTTGGCCTGGCTTCTAATGTGCACTCTTCTGGTGACACTGGCCTGTCTTCTTTCAGCTGGTGAGTTGGCCTGGCTTCTAATGTGCACTCTTCTGGTGACACTGGCCTGTCTTCTTTCAGTTGGTGAGTTGGCCTGGCTTCTAATGTGCACTCTTCTGGTGACACTGGCCTGTCTTCTTTCAGCAGGTGAGTTGGCCTGTTTTTTGATGTGCACTGTTCTGGTGACACTGGCCTGTCTTCTTTCAGCAGGTGAGTTGGCCTGGCTTCTAATGTGCACTCTTCTGGTGACACTGGCCTGTCTTCTTTCAGCAGGTGAGTTGGCCTGTCTTCTAATGTGCACTCTTCTGGTGACACTGGCCTGTCTTCTTTCAGCTGGTGAGTTGGCCTGGTTTCTAATGTGCACTCTTCTGATGACACTGGCCTGTCTTCTTTCAGCAGGTGAGTTGGCCTGTTTTTTGATGTGCACTCTTCTGGTGACACTGGTCTGTCTTGTTTCAGCTGGTGAGTTGGCCTGTTTTTTGATGTGCACTCTTCTGGTGACACTGGTCTGTCTTCTTTCAGTATGTGAGTTGGCCTGTTTTTTGATGTGCACTCTTCTGGTGACACTGGCCTGTCTTGTTTCAGATGTGAGTTGGCCTGTTTTTTGATGTGCACTCTTCTGGTGACACTGGCCTGTCTTGTTTCAGTATGTGAGTTGGCCTGTTTTTTGATGTGCACTCTTCTGGTGACACTGGCCTGTCTTGTTTCAGGATGTGAGTTGGCCTGTTTTTTGATGTGCACTCTTCTGGTGACACTGGCCTGTCTTCTTTCAGAGGGTAAGTTGGCCTGATTTTCAATGTGCACTCTTCTGGTGACACTGGCCTGTCTTGTTTCAGATGGTGAGTTGGCCTGGTTTTTGATGTGCACTCTTCTGGTGACACTGGCCTGTCTTCTTTCAGCAGGTGAGTTGGCCTGGTTTTTAATGTGCACTCTTCTGGTGACACAAACTGTGGCCTGTCTTGTTTCAGCAAGTGAGTTGGCCTGGTTTTTAATGTGCACTCTTCTGGTGACACTGGCCTGTCTTCTTTCAGAGGGTGAGTTGGCCTGTTTTTTGATGTGCACTCTTCTGGTGACACTGGCCTGTCTTGTTTCAGAGGGTGAGTTGGCCTGGTTTGTGAGGTGCACTCTTCTGGTGACACTGGCCTGTCTTCTTTCAGAATGTGAGTTGGCCTCGTTTTTGATGTGCACTCTTCTGGTGACACAAACTGTGGCCTGTCTTGTTTCAGAAGTGAGTTGGCCTGGTTTTTGATGTGCACTCTTCTGGTGACACTGGCCTGTCTTCTTTCAGAGGGTGAGTTGGCCTGGTTTTTAATGTGCACTCTTCTGGTGACACTGGCCTGTCTTCTTTCAGATGGTGAGTTGGCCTGGTTTGTGAGGTGCACTCTTCTGGTGACACTGGCCTGTCTTCTTTCAGAGGGTGAGTTGGCCTGGTTTTTAATGTGCACTCTTCTGGTGACACTGGCCTGTCTTGTTTCAGTATGTGAGTTGGCCTGGTTTTTAATGTGCACTCTTCTGGTGACACTGGCCTGTCTTCTTTCAGAGGGTGAGTTGGCCTGGTTTTTAATGTGCACTCTTCTAGTGACACTGGCCTGTCTTGTTTCAGAGGGTGAGTTGGCCTGTTTTTTGATGTGCACTCTTCTGGTGACACTGGCCTGTCTTGTTTCAGAATGTGAGTTGGCCTGGTTTTTAATGTGCACTCTTCTGGTGACACTGGCCTGTCTTGTTTCAGAGGTGAGTTGGCCTGTTTTTTGATGTGCACTCTTCTGGTGACACTGGCCTGTCTTGTTTCAGAATGTGAGTTGGCCTGTTTTTTGATGTGCACTCTTCTGGTGACACTGGCCTGTCTTGTTTCAGGAGGTGAGTTGGCCTGGTTTTTAATGTGCACTCTTCTAGTGACACTGGCCTGTCTTCTTTCAGAGGGTGAGTTGGCCTGGTTTTTAATGTGCACTCTTCTGGTGACACTGGCCTGTCTTGTTTCAGAAGGTGAGTTGGCCTGGTTTTTGATGTGCACTCTTCTGGTGACACTGGCCTGTCTTGTTTCAGAATGTGAGTTGGCCTGGTTTTTAATGTGCACTCTTCTGGTGACACTGGGCCTGTCTTGTTTCAGAATGTGAGTTGGCCTGGTTTTTGATGTGCACTCTTCTGGTGACACTGGCCTGTCTTGTTTCAGAGGGTGAGTTGGCCTGGTTTTTAATGTGCACTCTTCTGGTGACACTGGCCTGTCTTCTTTCAGCTGGTGAGTTGGCCTGGTTTTTAATGTGCACTCTTCTGGTGACACTGGCCTGTCTTGTTTCAGGAGGTGAGTTGGCCTGGTTTTTAATGTGCACTCTTCTGGTGACACACTGTGGCCTGTCTTGTTTCAGGAGGTGAGTTGGCCTGGTTTTTAATGTGCACTCTTCTGGTGACACTGGCCTGTCTTCTTTCAGAGAGTGAGTTGGCCTGGTTTTTGATGTGCACTCTTCTGGTGACACTGGCCTGTCTTGTTTCAGATGTGAGTTGGCCTGGTTTTTAATGTGCACTCTTCTGGTGACACTGGCCTGTCTTGTTTCAGAATGTGAGTTGGCCTGGTTTTTGATGTGCACTCTTCTGGTGACACTGGCCTGTCTTGTTTCAGGAGGTGAGTTGGCCTGGTTTTTAATGTGCACTCTTCTGGTGACACTGGCCTGTGTTCTTTCAGCTGGTGAGTTGGCCTGGTTTCTAATGTGCACTCTTCTGGTGACACAACTGGCCTGTCTTCTTTCAGCAGGTGAGTTGGCCTGTTTTTTGATGTGCACTCTTCTGGTGACACTGGCCTGTCTTCTTTCAGAAGGTGAGTTGGCCTGTTTTTTGATGTGCACTCTTCTGGTGACACTGGCCTGTCTTGTTTCAGCAGGTGAGTTGGCCTGGTTTTTGATGTGCACTCTTCTGGTGACACTGGCCTGTCTTGTTTCAGATGGTGAGTTGGCCTGGTTTTAATGTGCACTCTTCTGGTGACACTGGCCTGTCTTGTTTCAGGAGGTGAGTTGGCCTGTTTTTTGATGTGCACTCTTCTGGTGACACTGGCCTGTCTTGTTTCAGGATGTGAGTTGGCCTGTTTGTTGATGTGCACTCTTCTGGTGACACTGGCCCATCTTGTTTCAGGATGTGAGTTGGCCTGGTTTTTAATGTGCACTCTTCTGGTGACGCTGGCCTGTCTTGTTTCAGAATGTGAGTTGGCCTGTTTTTTGATGTGCACTCTTCTGGTGACACTGGCCCATCTTGTTTCAGGATGTGAGTTGGCCTGGTTTTTAATGTGCACTCTTCTGGTGACACTGGCCTGTCTTGTTTCAGGATGTGAGTTGGCCTGGTTTTTAATGTGCACTCTTCTGGTGACACTGGCCTGTCTTGTTTCAGAATGTGAGTTGGCCTGGTTTTTAATGTGCACTCTTCTGGTGACACTGGCCCGTCTTCTTTCAGGAGTGAGTTGGCCTGGTTTTTAATGTGCACTCTTCTGGTGACACTGGCCTGTCTTCTTTCAGCATGGTGAGTTGGCCTGGTTTCTAATGTGCACTCTTCTGGTGACGCTGGCCTGTCTTGTTTCAGAATGTGAGTTGGCCTGCTTTTTATGGTGCACTCTTCTGATAACACTATTTTGGTGGTTACTTTCAGGGGGTGAGCTGCCTTCCTTTTCATCATGAGTTACTCTTGTGACACGTTATCTTTCTTAGCATGTAAGTTGTTTGTTTTTCACTGTATATGTTTTGAGTAATCCATTTTTGACATTTCCTTTTCAGCCAGTGCGTTGTCTATATTCTTATTCCAATCAATTCCACTCACCCCTTTCTTACATTCATTTCTTGCATTTATAGAAAGTATGTGGTCTCTTCTTTATATCTTGTAAGTTTTATTTGTTAGCGTACATTTTTTAATCTACATGTATTCAATCATTGTTCTTTCTCAGGTAATTAATCCTCAATCAATAATTTTCAAGGAGGTCATTAAAATTTCAGCACCAAATAGACCAATTTTATGACCTCTCAGCTTTCCTTTCTTCTAGATAGTAGGTTGCCTATTTACTATCATTTCTATCTCCTTGATATATGCTTTTTTTGACTCAGATTGTATGTTTTTACTTCCTCTTATACAAGAATGCTCATGTTTTGTAGCTTGTATGTCTTCAATCCATTTCCAGCTTTCCACTTTTAACTCTTCCTTTTATTAGAAAGTATGAATTTATCTGCATTATTTCACTGGATCCCTTATTTTAGATATAGTGGGCAAGTCAACTCCTTTTTTATCATCTTAGAATCTTTCATAGATTCTCCTATTTTTAGAGGGTAAGCTTTCTTTCTTTCTTGCTTTCACTTCTCACCTGATATTCATCTTCAATGTATAGAAAGAGACAACACTATCCAACTCCTAACAGGCTTGTTTTTGTGCAAAATGTCAAGTTTTGTATGTGTAGTTTTCTGTTCTATTCCTTCTTATTCAACATCTCCATTCCCCTTAGTGGTTGATACATCCTCTATACCTATGATCTCTCCAACATCTCTATACTTGAGTGATGTATACACTGGGAGGAAGCAAAACCTTTATCTGCTCAGTTTCAGATTCTTCTTATTGAGGTGTAGGTGAAGTACTGATTGCTGAGAATACCACCCTACAGCATTGTGGACTTGATAAAATCAAAATTCTCATTGGATTGTTCTGCACAACAAAAAGAAAGACCTCTCTTTAATGATAACCATGAGTCAGTGCGTTGAAACAGAATAGAGTACAGCCTATCTTGATAGATAGTCTATGAAAATGCTACTGGAAGTTGAACAACTGGTCAATGTAGGACAATTCCTTGCATTTTAACCTGTATGCTAATTTTATAGTATTTCTATGCTTTTTCATTTTACGGCCATTTGCATAAATGATGGCAGTAGGGCAAAAATAGAAATGCATTATATCTATAACACACTCAGAAAAATTTGAGCATTTTCACTTCTTTCCTAACTGGTGGCTACCACTTTTATGATTAATCTACGACAACTGTCCAAGAGCCAATGTGTATACTGCCACAGGTTTTATGAAAGGCATTTCATTGGAATTGCCCATCTATTTCATTCAATTTATCACTGGAATCTTTCATAAGATATAGGCAAGGATAATGAGATATCATGAGGATATTTCATTAGGCTCTTTGGAGCTTTCATTAGGATATTTCATTGTGCACCTTGACTATTTTATTACCATTTCTTAAAATTCTCATTAGGCTCCTTGGATCTTTCATTAGCATTTCTTAGAATTTTCATTGCAATATTTCATTCAGCTCCTTCACCCTTTCATTACCATTTCATTGAATTTTCATTGGAATATTTCATTTGGACCTCTAGCTCTTTCATTACCATTTCATGGAATTTTCATTAGGATATTTCATTAGGCTTCTTGGTGCTTTCATTAGAATATTTCATTATGCTCCTTGACCCTTTCATTACCATCTCTTACATTTCTCATTAGGATATTTCATTAGGCTCCTTGGTGCTTTCATTAGATTTTCTCACAATTTTGAGGTCTTTATGCTGCCACTGCTTTTCCAAGTGGACTCTGGCTGGATTCTGTTGGACTGAGGGTATGCAGAACAGATATTTTTCTGCTTTGCAACTGCAGCAAATTTTCTGGTGAATGTCCGAAGCTTTTCCGAGCATTTTTGGTTGGACTTTTCCAAGGGACTTCCGATGGACTAACAGCAAACTAGCAGCCAGTCCACTGGAAATGACCAGCAAGTGCCAACAGAATTCCAGTGGACAAATCCAACAGAAGTCCAACAGAATTCCAACAGACTGTTGTTATTATTATTAATATATAACATTAAAAAAATGCAACATTGGGGAATTGAACACTCAACCTTAGGATCTGAAGCATATGGAACACAATGCTAAACCAGCTGCACCAAGGTGTCTTTGATATAAGTAGGTACATTGTACTATACATAAAGTGCTGGCAAAAAGTACTGCAGGTGAGAATTTTTTTTACTTCAACAGCCTTTCAAAGCCAGAGCTTTTCTGGTTCATATCTGAATACATGGTGGCTTGTTTGAGAATGATGAAATATCCTTTCAAACAGGCATAAGTTGTATCGTGTTTATGTTAGGGCAGCTTCAATCCAAATTAGAAAGTAAACTCTGAAAAGTCGCTTCGTTTGAATGAAGTGCTCTTGGTCAAATGAAGGCGCACAA